ATTCTGACAATCAACGATTTGCCTGAAGTAGTCAATAAGTCTACACCCTTGTTATTTGCTGATGACCTGAAATTAGTTTTAAAAATAAAGCAGCGGGCGGATCATGACATGCTACAGCAGGATATAACAAAAGTCGTAGAGTGGAGTTTGGAAAATAAATTATATTTCAACGCGGAGAAATGTTCTATTCTATCATTCAGCCGTGCACATAACCCGAGTCATCATCAATACTATATGGATGGAACCCGTCTGCAACGAGTTTTTGAGGTTAATGATTTAGGTGTGCGATTCACTACCGACATACAATTTCGAAAACACGTTACTAATGTTTGTAAAAAAGCATACCGCAACCTAGGGATGGTCTTACGGCTAGTCAACAGATTCACAAACATCTGTGCTCTGAGAGCATTATACGAGGCACTCGTAAAAAGTCATTTAGAATGCAATGCTGTTGTTTGGTCACCACATGAAGTCAAATATAAATTAATGCTAGAACGTATTCAGAACAAATTTGTGAGATTTATGTATTTAAAACAGTATGGTGTGTACCCGGGTTATCCACTTTTGTACCCTACTTTATTTATACTAGGCATGATAGGCTATTATAAACTAGAAATAAGAAGGGAAGTTGCTCTCGCCACTTACTTACTAAAAGTGATCCGTGGTAAAATACATAACCCAGGTATTTTACAGATAGCTGAGCTGTGTGTCCCTAATAAGTACGTAGGAAGACGGCGGCGGCCGCCGCTCTTGTTGGTGCCGCAAGCGCGCACCAACTTGCTACAGCTCGCGCCTTTGACGCGCGCGCTTCGTGCACTTAACGTGGTCCCACAACATACTGATTTGTTCAGCTGTACTCTGAACGAATTCACAAAGGCCGCTTATTGTAAAATATCTTTAAGTTGTGCATAATATACCTATTTATGTTTGTCTAGTTTCTTAGTTTGTAACTGCACTATTGTATTAGGTAATACACCTGTGATGATAGTTGTAAGTGGTAAAAATAAATAAATAAATAAATAAATAATTTTCTTCTTTTAGGATCTTTAAAATACCCGTTGTTCGCGCCAAACGCTGTTGTCGGAATCGACGTCTAGGGGGCGCGACGCTCGGTGCCATACCAGTTTTGACGTCGCTCAAGCGGTGGGGTTGAGAACGCGTAAAGGTACAGTGGAGTCGTCTGTAAGCGGTGCTAACGTTAGTACACTGTCATTTTTGTCGGGAACTCGGAATAATTAGGCGCGGACAGTAAATATACGGTCTAGGATTTGTGGCGCGCATTCCTGCTGGAGAGCTTCCCAGGGACTCATTGTGTCTGACTCAGAATCTGCATAAGTGCATTCGGCAATATTAGCTAGTGCGGCCTTTGATATTCTAGAAATAACTGTTGCTACGCGAAACGGTAGTGACCTTTGATCCGGAAACTCCGTGTGCATTTTGTGCGTTAACCTTATACCCAGCGAGAGTTAGTGGCTTCTGTAAGTTAGTTAATCGTACGATAGAGTTAATTGACTGTCATCGTGACGAACGAGGAAAGTGACTGTGGACAACGCCGCGGAAGGTTCCCTCAATTTGGAGCGGTGTCGACGCCCGGGCTGCTGCCGACGGCCAAGGTCTAGGGTCAATCACCATCAGTCACACCCAGATACACATCACATCACCTTATTTCCCTTGCACTACACAACCACATGCGACCTGACCAACTTCGGAGGGACCAGTCGCCTTGGATATAGGTAAGTAAGCTCCGTCTAATATCCTCCCGGTCAACTGGCCGTAGTATAGAACGCTCCCCCATATAGTTTAGTGTAATTAGAGAAATTCCACGTGGCTACATTGAGGCCCGACCTACGTCTGCTCGGGAAGTTTCTGCTCATGGGCCCCAGAGGATTTGACCCATAAAGGGAGCAGCCGTAGGCCGTAGGTAGCAGAGCGTGGGTCCGGGTTCGATTCCCGGTCGATCCCGACCATAGTGTTTGATAAAAATTAAACAATTCTGGTGGCAGGGAGCGTTGGTTTGATTGGGTTAATTTTGTGTCTACAATGACGCCCGTCCGTAATACGTAAAAATATTTTTTTGTACGTAATAATAAAATTATTTTCCTTTGTTGCTTTGTTGCATGCTTTTTTGGTTAGTGGGTAGATTGAAAAGCCGCGCCCTAGGTTGCGCAAGCGGGAGTTTTTCTAGAGATATACGTCATGTAGGTAGATGGTTATTTTTACGTAATCGGTTAATTATCGTTGTCGGATAGTTGTAGTGGATTACTTATCGAAGGGTCGATTTCCGAGCTAGGCATTTTTTGTTGATCGACCGTGATGTGTATCTTATTTGTATTGTAATTTGTATTTGAACTAAAGAGTAGTAATTGTATTTGCGCAATTTGAATTTAACTTGATTTGATCGCACTAGTATTTGTTATTTGTTAATTTGATTTGTGTCTTTTCTTTTGTGCTAACTTGTATTTGGTTGATACGTAGTAATTCGTATTTGTGTAATTTCTATTCAACGCGATTTGATAGGAACTGCATTTATTAACTGTTAATTTTTTGTTGTATTTTTTATTTGTTATCTTTGTAATTTGTACTCGAGCCGCGTCGTATTATATATATTTAGTAGTGATGTCATCGCCCAAGCTACTAATCCGTTGCCTGCGGACTGAGTTACGCTGGGCCGCAAGCGCCCATGCTTTGATAGGTCGACCGGATAGGGTCCATAACTTGATGAAGCGGTTCGAGCAGGTTGATGCTCGAAGGACCGCAGTGGAGGAGGCTTACGCTGAGCTCGAGGATTCGGATGTGGAGAAGGGAGTCCTGGAATCCTGCTTCGCGGACTATGAGCAGTTCTTTTCGCTCACGGACGAGTTGATCGAGGCTGAAGGCAGGTATGCCGAGGAGGCGCGTGAAGCTCGGATGAGTGACCTGCCCGGGTCCTCTCGGAAGCAGCTTCAGCCGGAGCTGTTGGGACGACTCCCAACTCTGGACCTGCTAAAGTTCTCCGGGGTCCTTTCCGAATGGCTGACCTTCGTTGGTCTTTTCGACAGCCTAGTGGACGCCCGGAGTGACTTGACCCCGAGCCAAAAGATGGCTTACCTCCTGGCCTCACTGGAGGGGGAAGCCCTGGGCGTCGTCGGCCACTTGAGATTGTCTGACGACGCCTACCAGACTGCTCGGGACCTCCTAGCCAGAAGATACGCCAACGTCCGGCGAATTGCGGACGAACATGTTAAGCAGCTTCTAAGCCTCCCGCTGCTTAGTGACCGGGCCAGACTACGTCCGGACGAGGCCTCCTATATTCCGCCCTTCTATGACCTGCTGCAGTTTTTGGAGGAGCAGTGCCGGCAGATCGAGAACGCGACGGGCACCGTTGACGACTTACGAAACGTGACCAGTGAGAGGCTGAATCCGCCAGGCAAGTCGTCGTCAATCCCCCCCTGCTCCTATTGTCGAGCATCTGATCACCGGGTAACGTCGTGCCCGAAATTATTAGGTAAGCCGGTTCCGGCAAGGCGAACTATCGCAAAGGAGCGCCGCTGGTGCTGTTCATGTTTTGGGAGGGCACCTCCAGCGAGACTGTCCGCATCGACGGCCCTGTCTGCATTGCCAGGGCAATCACCATGCAGTTTTGTGACTGGGTGCGAACGGCGTCTCCTCTCGGGGCTCTGCCAGGCCCTCGACCCCCACGGGCGGGGGCGCTCAGCCACGCCCTTTGCCGGGCGACTCTCGGCGCCCGCCGGCCAGCCATCAGGCCCCTAAATTTGAAAGGGGTCCCTCCCCCGACCAGTCGGGGGTAATTCCCCCAGGGGCGGGGGTGTCATCAACCCCCCTCAGCGTGTGGAGAGGAACTTCACGGCAACTTATCTGTCCGCTGGACCCTTCTCACTCCCGTTAGCTGAGTGGCCACGACTGATGTACCACTGTTCTCCATTTGATGGAGGCGGCCCTGGCTAGCTGCCGCCTTAGCTCCCACCACGGCCGCCTCCACTGAGCCTTAGCTTAGAAATACCAAGGACTATAAGTTATTGATTATAAATCGGCTGAAAACCCTGTCTCATGAAAGCATAGAAAATCTTTTATGTTTCAACACATTAGGTGAAAATTAATATATTTTCACACACAAAAAAAAAAAACACACACACACACACACAATTTGTTGTTGAATAATTTTAAACATTTCTCTTTTTGTATAATATGTAATCTTACGTTTCTAGAAAGTTTGTATGGTTATGGAAGAGCGGGAGTCACTGACACAAGTGTCTTAAGGTGCTTAAAAAACGCTCCCTACCTTATGCAAATTGTTAAATGCTTAATGAAAACAAAAGAGATTTATTATTAAAATATATACACAATGTGACTTAATTGCACTGATTAAATGTAACTGATTTTTTATTATTTCGACTGAAGGATTCTGCATCCATTGGTCATACAATAAAGTAAAAGGAGTTTTTACGGGAACTTGACTGGTCGCGGATTGCTGTTCCTCTATTATTGTTTAAATAATAGTTTGAAGTGGATTTTGATACGTAAAAGTAAAATGTCTGCGCATCTATTCAGATGTGTGATTTGTGGAAACGGTGAAACAAGTGCTCTGACGGTGATTTGAATCTCAAGATAAGATGTCTATTTCCTTAGGCGCTTTGAGATACTACCGCCAACTGTCTGCTGGCTCAAGTTGCAGACAAAATCTCCCAAAAACTTTAACATGTTGTGAAGCAGTGTACTATAAAAGATTATTATCACTTGATACTGAGATAAATGAAGACATGGCTTAAAAAACAAGCATCTAAGGCAAAATTTTAATAAAAATCAAAAAATGTAATTGTCAATAATATGTCAGTTTCAGTTATTAAAAAAAAGGCTGTATGGCTTAGTTCCTTTGCCTGCTCCCTCGAGCAAATAATAAAAACAACAACAGTTATTAAAAAATATATCAATTTACTTTAGACATCTAAACACTATTGTGTAAAATAATTAATGAGATAAAATTTAAAAAGCTTTTTTAAATAATGAAGACGGCCTTAATGGTGGCTGAAAAGCCATCGTTAGCACAAAATCTGGCCAATATTCTTAGCAACGGAAAGTGTAGCACTAACAAGGGTTAGAATTTAACGTCGTTACTGATTATTTATTGAATAACATAATGTTACCCATATTTTTTAAATTAATCTTTTTCATAGGTTCTAATTCAGCCTGTTCTGTTCACGAATGGAATGGGACCTTTAAAAATGAACCAGTTCATTTTAAAATGACATCTGTGTGTGGGCATGTAATGAGCTTGGATTTTACCGGAAAATATAATAATTGGGACAAAGTTGATCCAGTCGAATTATTCAGTTGTCCTACTGAAAAAAAAGAAGCAATGCCTCGTCTGAGAATGCCTGCTTTTTTAGCCCAAGAAGCCAGAGGATGCGACTATCTTATTTTGTGGCTGGATTGTGATAAAGAAGGGGAAAATATTTGTTTTGAAGTAAGTAGTCAATGAAATATTATGATTAAAAATTAAAAATAAGTTAATTGATAGAAATAAGTTTATTTAATGTGCATTGCCTCTTACTGAACTAATTTACTGCATTTTTTTTTGTTACGATTAATTGATAATAATGTTTGCAATATAATAATACTTGAAATTAAATAGTGCTAATATTTTTTGGTATTGAAATAAGGGTTATTAAACAAACACATAGTCCTCCTGGTAGTATAAGGATGCCGTTTCCCATTGATACCTATATCTATCTTCAAATAAGAAACAAAATATAAGTTCTTTGTTACCCTTGAGGACAATGGAATATTTTGTTACAAATAAAAAGGATACCATATGACACACATTATAAAACTATTGCTGGTGTTCAGTATGAGTATAGTTTTTCCTAAGTCAGTCATTTGTGGCAGTCATATTGTAGCACAGTTTTTCCATGTAGTAAGTAATGTGGAATAAATTTTATAATTTTTTCCAAATTAGTACTGTCTAGTCTTACTATCTATAATTTTTAATTACTTTCAATGATTTTGTTATCATCTCGACTTTTGGCAGAGTAATTCTTGTCTTGTAAAAATTGCATTGAAACTATTGTAGTCTGATGTGTATTGGCTTATTATACAATAAATGGTACTTGGTGATTATCAGTAAAGTACTTATTTGAAAATGATTGCTTTATTCGGCTGGTGGTTGCAAGTGTTGTCCTGGTCTCGAATCCTAAGTTGGGCCAAAATCAGTTGTTGGGTTTTTCTTCAGTTTTGTTCAGTAGCAGTGTAGAGTCATAAAGGTGGCTCTGTTGTAATACCCCCAAGTCTTAGAAAGTATGTAAAGCGGTTGACTCTGCCCTTGATTTCTCTCCTGTAGTAGACTTCTGTCACTCTCGCTAATAATTACTTACAATTGCACAAGACCTCAGAAGAATTTGCAAGTTTTAACACTGTTTACTTAGTAATTAGTAGTGCAATTGAGTGTGCAGCGTGGTGGAGCCATGTTGTAGCTATGTTATAGTTGTAGTACGAATGGGTTGGCTCAACCGGAGAATCACTCTATAACAGTGTTATGTTTTTTTACTATTGTAATATTTTGTAACACAAAATAAGATATTAATATACAATGACATAGGCTTATAATTGTTACTGACAATACAATGAAATCACGCATCAAATGTATACACGAAGCCATTTACTTTTCTCTTTGATTTTCGACAGAGTTACACATTTGCAGTGCAAATAATCTGTCTGGTTAAACATCTTATGGATGTCCCCTAAATGTAATTGCAAGTTTAGTATTATTAGGTTGTGTTGCACAGTCGGTCGCAGGTATAAAGCTGCCCCTCATTAATCTTTATTACTTTAGCTATGCAATTGTATTATAAGTATAAATGTAAGTTGGCTTCCTATTGGAAAAGATAACAGTCTGTGGTGTGATTCCCAAAGTTACATAATTGCACTCGCATTAAATTTTGACAGTTTTGGCAAGGTTGGCCACAGCAGTTGTTTATAATTTTGAGTTGTTATCAGGAATATGCTGCTGATCATTTCCTGTTTCAGTTTCCCTCTGTCGTCTTTTACGACATCCACGGGATGATATGGGGTAGTGGATTCTCTTACGCCGCCACGAACACGGGTTTCAGTATATACTATAAAATTATAATAAATTACAGATTACAGAAATGTGTTAATTGTTTGATTTTAGGTGATGAGCTGTGTTCAAGCATACATGAAGAGTGATGTATTCTCGCCACTGGTGACATACCGTGCACGTTTCTCTGCGATTACGGACAAAGATATCAAAGCAGCCATGTTGAATCTAGTGCGTCCGAATGAAAACGAATCACGTAGTGTTGATGCGCGTCAAGAATTGGATTTGCGAATTGGATGTGCTTTCACTCGTTTCCAAACTAAATATTTTCAAGGTAACATTAATATTTGCTTGGGTATTATTGGTTAACATTTTGAAATGTTTATATTAAATTATAACTAACAAGAATGTTGAATATGGTAAAGTCATGCTGCAGCTATATTAATTGTATAGTTGTAGTATGAATGAGTCGACTGGGGAGGAGAGTGTGTCGCACAGAATACCAGCGGAAAATTGCAGCTTAATGATGCATGTTTCATATGATGAGTGTAGAGAACCGAAGACCCTTTTTACTGAAAAAGAGGCATTCCATCTTAGTCCTTACAGTTGGAAACGCACCTGCATTTTGATTCACAAATGAGGATAGTTGTAGATGTCTATGGGCTACAGCAACCACTTACCATCAGTGGACCGTGTGCTTGCTTGTCACCTTTATCCTATAATAGAATCAGAAAGATGTGCAAAATAATTAGCTAGGATCTGCAAAAAAGTGGTTAGCCATCACAGTGTCTATTTTTCCTGATAATGCCTTGCTTAAAGGCGAATCACCTATCGTATTTTCAATGGTGCTGTGTTGATGTGTGTTGTGTGTGTGCTGGATTTAGTGGCGGTAATAATAGTATACACAATAGTAGGGGTGAAGGGGTTTGTTCTACAAAGTAGGTAATGCATACCATTCATACGATTCATTTGCCACCTTTAAAAAAAAAATTCTGTAATAGAGATTGTCGATTTATACTTTAATCCGCCCCAGCTTCGCACGGGTGATTTCTGGATCTTGACAGCAGTGCCACTTACCAGGTTCAAATGTTAATCTAAACAATCTAGGGACCCATTAGAACACAAAAAAATTTCATCAAAATCGGTCCAGCCGTTTTTTATTTTTAGCGAGACTAATGGACAACTTACTAAATTTAAAAGTCAGGCAGTCTTGTGTGTATTGTCCGTAACTTTAATGAAAAAATTTAATATAATTAAATTGTTTCATATAATGTTAAATTCATTACCTGTACTAATGGGTGTTCCTCAGGGCTCGATTCTCGGCCCATTCTTATTTCTAGTGTATATTAATGACTTTTTTTTTATAGGATCGGGTGACAAACGAGCACACAGTCCACCTGATGATTAGTGGTTACTGTGACCCATAGACATCTTCTTCTTCTTTCTTTTTTTATGGCGGTTTTTAATTATTCGCCAATGTCAGCGTGGAAGTGTTTATTGAGTACAAGCTCAGTAGTTACAAATACTATGCCCATGTACTAAAGAAGATTGTGATAATACAAGTATCTTTTTTTCTTTAAACAATTAAATTTTCCCTTTTTATCTTGTAATACTAGTGGTTGTACTGTTGAATTACCTACAACAAATGACAAACACAGTTGCTATAACTACATTAGTATATTAGTATTGACAAACATTAAACTTTATACTATTAGTGTTAATAAAATCACACAGAATATATACATAAGGAGTATTTGTGTAGGTTAAAAGTGAATCAAAATTTATAGGACGAGGGATGTCAGGAGGGAGATGATCATAGAGTGAACAAGATAATTTAGGACAGTTAAAAAAAATATGGTCTGAGGTTCCCTCATCTAACCCACATTCGCAGAGGGAACTATCCCTAATCCTCAGTTTGGCTAAATGTACTGGTGTACAAGCATGGCCAATTCTAAGTATACAAATAGTTGATGTTGACTGTTTGTTAGCTTTATTAAATTTGAAAAACCATGGTTTTGGAGGGATGGCACATTGTATAGCAGCATAGTGTTTACCTTTTATATTTTGAGTGGCTTTCCATAATGTGTTCCAATTATTACTTAACTTCTTCTTTGCAAGTAACACTATGTCTGAAGAGTAAATTAAATTACATGGCAAACCATTTCGACTTGCATTTTTAGCCATCAGATCAGCTGTTTCATTGCCCTTAATGCCACTATGACCTGGAATCCAAGCTAAGGAAACCTGAATGCCCTTGAGATGACATCTATACAATGTGTGTTTAATTTTGAGGATCAAGGGTAACTTATATTTACTTTGGAACTGGTTTGACAAAATTGCTAACAAACAGCTTTTGGAGTCGGTAAGAATATCTGACTTATTTAAGTTGTGTGCTTCTATATAAATCGAAGCTTCATAAATTGCCGTGGCCTCGCCAGTAAAAGTGGAAGAAATAGAAGGGCATTTAAAATTGAGGATTATTTTGTATCTGGGAATCCAAACTGCTGCTCCAGTGCAACTTTCACCTGACTTTTTGGAGGCATCAGTGTATATAATAAGCCAGCCTTTCCATAAATTATCTATGACTCTACTTAATTTACTATTTGCTATAGGGCAATCTTTCTCAATACCAAGGTCGAGGTGGATATTTGGTTGGAAAATAATTGCATCATATGGGATATCAAAGATGGGACAGGACTTGCATTGTGATACTGGGTGTGGTAGATGGAGTAATGTTACCAAACTGTTGGATAAGCAGGGAGATTCTTTATGAGTCCAGTAATGCTTTGTTGAAATATATTCCAAAAGAAGGTGTAATTTAGAAATGAGAGGATGTGAAGAGAGTTGATAGATTTTAAAAAAGAATCTGTCCGAAAGATATTGTCTTCTTAGGTAAAGAGGGGGATCTACACATTCGACTTGGAGAGCATTTATTGGGGAAGATTTCATTGCCCCAATGATTATACGAAGGCTTTTCGTCTGAATCCTGTCTAGGATCTTTAGGGAAGACTTATTACATGGTTCCAAGACAAAGCACGCATAATCCAAATGACTACGAATAAGGGCGTTGTACAATATTTTTTGAGAGAATGGATGGGAGCCCCACCAAACTCCCGATAACGCGCGAAGAATATTTATATTTTTTTCACATTTTTTTGAGACATAGTTGATATGATGAGAAAAGGTTAGTTTGGAGTCAAGAATAACTCCCAAAAATTTTACATTCTCCCTAATAGGGATAGGTTCATTATTAAAGAGAATGTCGATTTCAGGGAGTTGCCTATGGCGAGAGAAGATGACAACACTGCTTTTGGGAACAGACAAGGACAAACCATGATCAGTTAACCAATCTTGTAAATAGGACATTGATAGATTCAAGCGGGAACAAGCTGTAGCAAGGTTATCCAAGGAAATATAGATAGCTATATCGTCTGCATATTGGAGGATGTTACAGAATGAGTTAACAGAAAGTTCTAGTTCATAAGTATAGATAGAATAGAGCAAAGGACTAAGTACTGAGCCTTGTGGGAGACCCTTCCATACAATTCTTGGCGGGAGTAGAGAATTTTGACTATCAATATAAATGGACCTAGAAGAGAGAAAGTTAGAGACAAAATTTACTATCCTCACTGGAATACTCAGATAAAGCATTTTTTGCCTGAGCACAGGAAGAAGTACATTATCATATGCAGACGAGATATCTAGAAAGACACCAACAAGGTATTCATGTTTAGAGTAAGCTATACGAATATCAGTAACTAGAGTACTAAGGCTATCCATGGTGCTTAAGCCCTTTCGGAATCCAAATTGGCTTTTTGCTAGAAGGTTTTTGCTTTCAAGAAACCATTCTAGACGATTTTTTATTAGGTGTTCAAGAATTTTGGCCATGGTACAAGAAAGAGCAATAGGGCGGTAGCTTGAGGGATCAGTGTGAGGCTTTACCTGGTTTGTAAATAGGTAAAATAACTTGGGATTTCCATTCTTCAGGAGAATTACCGGACATGTAAATACAATTTAAAATAGAAAGAAGATGGGCTTTAGTAGATTCACTGCTATTAGTAATAAAAGAATAAGGAATTCCATCAATTTCTGGTGAAGAGTCTTTAAGGGCACTAAGAACAGCATATAACTCCTCATAAGAGAAAGGGGAGTCAAAACTGTGTTGATAGTGCAAGGACTGTGATTGAAATACTATACTTTCATTGTAAGATGGTACTGAAGGAGGAGCAAGATTACTAGCAAAATTTTCAAGCCAATAAGACTGATCATTAGAAATTGTGTTTTCAGAGGCCAAAATTGAACATCGGAATTTTTTAATATTTTTCCAGACTAATGATGGATGAGTCCTAGGCGACAGTGACTCACAGAATTTAACCCATCCAGCCTTTTTCTTCCCAGATAATAATTTTAATGTTTCAGCAGCAGTTTTTTTATAAAAAATATAGTTGTCAAAATTCATAGAGAGGGAATATCTTACTTCAGCTTCCTTTCTCTTCTTACATGCTACAGAACAATCTTGATCCCACCAAGGTGGTGAAGTAGCATTATTTTTATAAGGTTTTTTGATGGGGATTGTCTTATTGGCAGCAGATAAAATAGCTAAATATCTAAATATCTATCTCAATAAAGACTCAAGATGCAGATGCGTTGTCACCCGTGAGGAAGTAAGATGGAATGCCTCTTTGCCAGTAAAAAGGGTCTCCGGTTCTCTACACTCACCATACGAAACACAGCAGCGTTAAGCTGCTATTTTACGCTGGTTTTCTGTGAGAGCGTGGTCCTTCCCCGGTCGAGCTGACCCATTAGTGCTACAACCATAATATAGCTGCAGCATGGCTCTACCGCGTAGAGCTGACCCATTCGTGCTACAACCATAATATAGCTGCATGACTTACCTTTCCTTGTAGGGGATAATCATGATATATAGTATTATTTGCTGATAATACTTTCTTGATTTTTAAACTTAAGTCTCAATCATTTAAATGAGAAGAATCAAAATTAGTGCATTGCTTTAACATTAATAATCTACATTTAAATGGAAATAAAACTAAATGTATTAAATTTACAACATCGAATGTTAAAATCTGAATACCAATGTTTCTTTTTTTTTTATAGGAGAGGGGGCAAATGAGCATGGGGCTCACCTGATGGTAAGTGACTACCGCCGCCCATGAACAACTGCAACACCGGGTAGGGAATTGCAGATGCGTTGCCGGCCTTTTAAAAAGGAGAACGCTCTTTTCTTGAAGGTCCCTAAGTCGTATCGGTCCGGAAAAATCGCTGATGGTAATCGATTCCACAAGGAAGTCGTGCGAGGAAAAAAACATCTTCTAAATCGCACAGTGGTGGACCGCCAATCATCCAGATGGTGTGGATGGTATCGGGAGTTTTGCCGCGATGTGCGTTCGTGAAATTTAGCGGCTGGGATTAATCCGAACAATCAGAGCACTCCCCATGGTAGATGCGATAGAAAATGCAAAGGGATACAACATCTCTTCGCAGTGCCAATGAATCGAGCCGATCGGAAAAGGCTCGGTCGTCGACGATTCGGGCCGCTCTGCGCTGGATGCGGTCAAGTGGAAGGAGCTGGCACTGGGGAGCCCCTGCCCAGAGGTGGGAACAGTATTCCATGTGAGGCCGAACCTGCGCCTTGTAAAGTTGCAGGCGGTGTGCCGGCATGAAATACTGTCCCGCTCTGCTGAGCACGCCAAGCTTTTTAGAGGCCAATTTGGCCTTGTCTTCCAAGTGACCACGAAACTGCACGTCACTCGATATGTCGACTCCGAAGATACCGATACTAGCTGAGGCAAGAAGGGGAGTGCCTTGAAACTGAGGAGATACGACAAAGGGGTTCTTTTTAGCGGTTAACGCGCAAACTTGTGTCTTCTGAGGATTAAACTGGACTAGATTTAGTCGCCCCCAATCCGGGACTTAGTTCAGCAAAGGCTCGAATTCAGACACAAGTTTGTTCCGGTACTCGGCGACGTTTTCCCGAGAAATATTGGCACGTCCGGTGTATAGAGCATCACCAGTGCTGTCATCCGCATAGCAATGAATGTCACTAGTTAGCAACATATCATTGATATGCAGAAGAAACAGCGTTGGTGATAGCACACAGCCTTGTGGAACACCAGCGTTAATAGGCTTGTAGTCAGAACATGCACCGTCTACAACGACCTTGATACTCCGATCTGCAAGGAAGCTGGTGATCCAATTGCACAATTTCTCGGGAAGCCCATAGGAAGGGAGCTTCGAAAGAAGCGCTTTGTGCCAAACCCGATCGAAGGCCTTCGCAATGTCCAGACTAACGGCCAACGCCTCCCCCTTGGACTCTACTGCCTCCGCCCATCTATGGGTCAGGTAGACCAGAAGATCACCAGCTGATCGACCCCGACGAAAACCGTATTGGCGGTCACTAATCAGCTGGTGATCCTCAAGGTTCCGGATGAGCTGGCAGTTAATAATGGATTCCATTATTTTGGAGAACAAGGAGGTGATCGCGATAGGCCTATAGTTGGACGGGTCTGAGCGGTCGCCTTTTTTAGGGATCGGGTGGACAAAAGCTGTCTTCCATGAGTTCGGGACTACGCCTTGGGAGTAGGAGTACCGGAAAAGACGCGTTAGGACCGGTGCCAACTCCGGTGCACACGTCCTCAGCACAATTGGGGGGATTCCGTCAGGCCCACTCGACTTCTGGATGTCCAGGGAGAGAAGTGCTTTGCGAACCGAGCACTGTGAGAACAGCACATCCGGCATGGAGCACTCACACCGCGGGATGGTCGGCGGTGTTTTCCCCCCGTCATCAAGAGTCGAGTTGGATGCAAAGAGGGAGCCTAAAAGGTCGGCTTTGTGTTTTGCGTCTTGGGCCAGTGAGTCGTCCTCCCTGTGCAGAGATGGTAGTGATGGTTTACAGAAATTCCCTTGGACAGCCTTGGCGAGAGACCAGAATGCACGAGTTCCCGAAGGAAGGCGAACTAGTTTCTCGCCAATTCTGCCTATGTGCTCTGACTTTGCCTTGGCAATAACTCTTTTGAAGGACCTGGAGGCAAAGTTATACTTCTTTTTAAGTGTGCTGGTGTTGTGTTTTTAAATGGGGAAGAAGTGAGCCTTGTTGAATCCACTGTTTTCATTGGCATCACTCGACGCAAAGCTTCAGTTGGACCCCCCGCATATCCAAACTAGCAGCCTATGCTGTAAAAAAGATTAGAGGTTTCACTAGTGTCGAGACAGCTAGATTAGTTTATTTCAGTTATTTCCATAGCATAATGTTTTATGGGATTTTGCTATGAGGAAAGGCGGCTGAGTCAAAAACTGTTTATGTTTTACAGAAGAGGGTCGTTAGTGCTATTTTTTTTATAGGATAAGTGTGATAAACGAGCACCTCGCTGGTAAGTGGTTGCTGTGGCCCATAGATAGCTGCAGCATGGCTCTACCACGTTACAACCTAAAACCGAGAGAGTCTCTTAGAGATAAATTTATAGAAGTATATATATTAACTTTGGCCTCTCAGTATATTTACGAAAATTTAATGTATGTTCACAAAAAATGTAGTTTCAGTAAAAAAGTGATATACACTCTGTAAACACTAGGAACAAACACAAGCTAGTGAGTGATACCAGTTTCTCGACTCCACAGAGTCAGTATATAACACCTGGGAATGAGGTGGTAGCTTCCAAGCAGTTTCTAAAATAAATTTTGTAGGTAGTTTGTACAACCATTAATGTAAAATTTACTTTACCGTTGGGTTTCTTCTTGCTTCTTTTCAGACAGAGGGTTTTTTCGAACCAGTGGTAAAGTAAAAAATTACTTTCAATAAGAATTACACATGTGATCTATATTGAATAAAAAATTATTTTATTCTATTCAATACTAGCTAATAAATTAATATTATAGTAATTAGTTTTGATGATGTACAATTAGGGCAGACATCAATAAAATTTTAAATTTGTCAATAAATCCTCAAATAACTCACTATTTAAACAAATCTAGTATCGCTATTAACATAACTAATACTTCTGTTAACTACTCCAAGTAAACTTGAAAATGCTTGTGTTTGAAGTTGTTTACCACAGTAGTCAAATAGCGGATATGAACCCACAACTTTCTGAGTTTGCAGGATGCATCCTACTATTGGGCTACTGTCGCTTCTAGTACTGTAGCTTCAAGTACTCGACAGTAGTAGACATTAGTAATGCCTAGTACTTGAAGCGACAATAGCCTAATGATAGTAATTTAGATTAAGCTTACTTTACAGGTAGATATGGTGACTTAGATGCGTCATTAATCTCATATGGCCCATGTCAGACGCCGACCTTAGGATTCTGCGTACAACGTCACGACGAAATCCAAACTTTTAAACCGGAGACTTATTGGGTGCTTCGGGTAACTGCAAGTACTTCAGAGGGACGGGAACTGCCTTTGGAGTGGAAAAGAGTCAGAAGTTTCGAAAAGGACATCGCGAACATGTTCCTTTCCGGTATCAAAGAAATAAAGGAAGCAACGTAAGTCACATATTGCTGATAGACTTGCACATGTTATGAATTTTTATTTTACTATAGTTGTTTTTGTTTTTATAAATTAAGAGATATCTATTCAAGTTAAACATTCATCTCATGTTTGACGTATCTAAAAGATAACGTACATCCCAATCTAAAAAAAACAATCATCATCATCATTACAGCCCTTCACAAGTCCACTGCTGAACATAGGCCTCCCCCAAGGAATGCCACAAAGCACGGTCCTGAGTCACCTGCATCCATCGACTTCCTGCATATCTTACCAGGTCGTCACTTCATCTAGTGGGGGGACGCCCAACACTTCGCCTGCCGGTACGAGGCTGCCACTCGAGAACCTTTCTTCCCCATCGATTGTCGGTTCTTCGAGCTATATGGCCGGCCCATTGCCACTTCAGCTTACTAATCCGTTGGGCTATGTCGGTCACTCTGGTTCTACTGCGGATATCCTCATTTCTGAGTTTATCACGCAGAGAAACTCCGAGCATAGCCCTCTCCATAGCTCGCTGAGCGACCTTGAGCTTCCTTATCCGGCCAGCAGTGAAGGACCACGTCTCAGTTCTGTATGTCATCACTGGCAACACGCACTGGTTGTACAGTCTCGAAAAAAAAACAATAGATAAATATTATTGTAATATTATTTTATTTATAATACATTTATCTCATTATCTCACTATGACCAGGTTGATTGATATAATAAATAAATGTTAGCTTCTGTTGCTGATATGACTAGATGGTATAGTTTTGGCTTTCATAATTTCATCTAATATTAGACTTCTAAATAAACTAAAATGGCAAGTCATCGATAAAATTTTAATGATGTTCCTAAATTCAAGAGCACGCGAGCGAAGCCGCGGGTAAAAAGCTAGTTATAAATATAGTTGTGTCTAAGGGTCACAGTATCCACCACATTCGTCACCCATATTTCTACAAAGAAGTCTTGCAGTCAGTGTTTAGAAGTTGGCGTGTTTGCGGAAATCACTCAGAAAATCTTTGGATCCAAACTGTTTAATTATAAACTGTTCATACACTAAGGTATAATTTTTTTATGATATTATTTTGACAAAAAATCACTTTACAGAGTAATTAATGTTCAAGCAAAGGAAAAGGTGAAAGCAAGACCTGTTGCTTTGAATACAGTCGAGTTGATGAGAGTGGCCAGTTCTGGACTCGGCATGGGACCTCATCATGCTATGCAGGTTATAATTAGTTTATTTTTTAAATAATCTGTTAAATGTACGTAAATAATATATTTAAACTGTTTATTGTTCTGCTTTTTAGATAGCAGAACGGCTTTACACACAAGGTTACATTTCGTACCCGCGTACTGAGACCACAAGCTATCCTGAAAACTTTGATTTAATGTAAGTATATATTTATTTATTTATTCTTTATTGCATTCCTTAATCTAAAAGAATACAAAGGGCGGACTTAATGCCTTGTGGCATTCTCTACCAGTCAACCCATGGAGTGGTGAGAATTTGAAGTAGGTGTAGCAATATAGAATAAAAACAAAATAGAAATTTATAATTAATTACGTTATATATATACATTTTACTAATATATACAATAAATAAACTATAAAAATATATCCTATTTATACATACTTACTTACTTATCTTCACGCACAATCCCTGACGGGGTAGCCAGAGAGAACAGATCGCCAAGTGTCACGATCCTTACAAACCTCTTTCGCTTCTTTCAGATTCATTATCTTCTTCATACATGCACGTCTAGGTATTCGAGTACTCTTGACCCTACCCTCTTCGAGCAATTTGCTCACATGGTCTTAGAAAGTTAGTCTCGGTCTACCTCGACACCTTTTAATATTAACTTTCGCGCTATATATTTTCTTCACCATTCGGTCTTCACTCATTCGCTCAACGTGCCCAAACCACCGAAGCACGCCCTTATCGATTTTTGTGATAAGGTCATCTTTCAAACCTGCCATATTGCGAATCTCTTCGTTTCGCTTTCGGTCGGCCATGGTAACGCCGCACATTTTACGAAGAGATCGCATCTCCACTGCATTCAACTTGCTTTTATGCTTCTTCTGGCATACCCAGGTTTCGCTGCCATATAACAAAGTCGGTACCAACACTGCGTTATGTATTGCAAGGCGTGCACTCTTCGCTACGCCTTGCCTTTTGACTAACGCAGTCAGGGCACCATTGACTTTGTTCCCGGCAGCGACACGCCTGTCCACATTTAAATCACATCTTCCATCCCGGCTAAAAGCACTCCCCAAGTATACAATTTCATTTACGTGTTCTAGACATTCCTGATTTACCCATATTTCACACTTCATTCTCTCTTCGTCCCTTTCAAATACCAGAACCTTAGTTTTATTAGCATTCAAACGGAGACCTTTAATTTCACATTCCTCTTTCATACACGTGACTAATGCCTGCAGTTCTGCCTCTGATGGTGCAATAAGCACTGCATCATCAGCATACAGCAGACAATTTACTTTTATGTCACCCAATTTCACACCCAAACAGCTATCTTTCAGCTTCTCTACAATTAACACCTGTATTTACCATGTTTGATGCAAATAAAAGTTTTGAATCTTTGAATCTTCTGTAAACAGCTGTCGAGATACAGTATGAACAGCCAGGAAGACATGACACAACCCTGCTTTACGCCCGTTTGCACGCTAAACATGGGTGACAGGTCATGCCCTACCCGCACACAGGCTTTACAGTCACAGTAAAGAGACTGCACAGCCCTTAGCAATCGACCATCCACACCATACCCCGGCAGCAGTTCCCACATTTTCTTCCTTACAACCTTATCAAATGCTTTCTCAAGATCCACAAAAGCACAGAAAATCTTCTGGTTAGCAGCCAGAAGCTTTTCCGTGATCATGCGGAGAGAAAACATTTGATCCGTGCATCCTCTTCCAGGTCTAAATCCGCATTGTGCCTCCCATAGAAATCTTTCCGATTTCTCTTGCATCCTATGTGTCAAAACCTTCGAGTAAACTTTACTTGCTAAACTGGTCAAGCTGATTGCCCGATAACACCCGCAGTCAAAATGTGAACCTTTACCTTTATATAAAGACACAATGACTGCGTATCGCCAATCATCCGGAATATCCCCCGTCCGCCAGCACAAATTGCACAGCAGATGAAAGCTGTCCCAGACGCGAGGCCCACCATACTTGACCATTTCAGCAGTAACTCTGTTTAGTCCCGCAGCCTTACCACATTTCAAACTTCGAATCGCACGTTCAATCTCTTTCATACTGATGACCTCAGTGTCATCGAGGTCCGGGTCTGGCGTACCAGTCACGGCGTCGTCCCTGGATCCCTGACTAAGATCATCACACGCATACATTTCTCTATAAAATTCGCTCCATCGCTGCATGACGTCCGATTTTTCTGAGAGGACGTCATTAGTTCTCGAAAGCACTTTGTTCATTCTTAAGGCCGTTGCTCCACTTTGGGTCCTTCCAACCTCTTTCCAAAAGAGTTTGGAGTTATCCTTAAAGTTGTGCGACAACCTTTCGTCCGCTTCCATTCTACACCTTTCACGCACTTCCTCAATCAATGCTTTCGTGTGAACTTTCTGCAGCCTATATCTTTCTTTCATCTTCTCTCTCATATCCTTATCATTACTAGAGGCCAAGTAGTCTAACCATGCTTTCTTCTTCTTCTTTACAGCTTCTTTCACTTCATCATTCCACCATGCATCTCTTCTTTTACTACTGGCTCTTTTTATTGTTCGACACACTTCTTCCGCTGCACTTACCATTCCATCCCTAAGGTTCTGCCATGTTCTTTCTACATATTCTTTTCTGCCATCGATGGTGTCAAGCTTTTCGGCTACCCTCGCATGATATTTGTCCCTAGTATCCGCTTCCTGAAGCTTCCAGCTTCGGATGCGACAGACCGACTGTGGTTCTGTTACTGCCGTCCGGTAGCGCCAACCCGCGAACAGACCCCTAAATCTAGTAATCACTAGATAGTGATCCGTTCCCAGGTTAGCACCCTTGAACACTCGCGTATCCATCGCCTGTTTTCGCAGTCGGTCATCCACCAGGAACAAATCGATCATACTTCTCTCATTCTTTCGTTCTCTAGTATACATATGGATTTTCTTGTGATTAAACATAGTGTTTGTCACAAGAAGACCCTTTTCCTTGCACACCGCTAGTATAAGCTTGCCAGCATCATTAACCCTTTTATCGCCAAACTTTCCAAGTACCGACTCGTACCCTGGTCGAGCGGTACCAACCCATCTATTCAAATCACCACATACAACAGTTCTTTCGTTTCCCCTAGCCAAATCTAGAACTTCTCTTACATTCTCCCAAAATTCCTCCAGCTCAGCCCTGGACGACGAAGCTACCGGCGCATAAACAGCCAAAAGGAATAACTTCGTCAGTCCCAATTTAAAGCGAACCCAGAGAAGTCTTGAGTTCACAACCTTATATTCAGTCATAACATCGACCAACCGAGAAGACAGCAACACCCCCACTCCCTGGCAGGCGTTCTCGCTCTCCGGGACTCCGGACCATAGAGCTAACGCCCCGCCAGGGAGCTCTTCAGTACCACTGCCCTTCCGTTTGGTCTCCAACATACACACGACATCTAATTCTCTTTCTTTCATTATTTCGATCAACTCATTCGTCTTATCTCTCATGCCTTCTCTAACATTCCACGTGCCTACTCTGCACTCTGTCCTCCACCTTCCGCCGTGTCGGGCTGTGCGTGACGGGTGGCGGTCCCCATCGCCGCTTTGCGCGCTGCATTCCACACCAACGGGGACGAGCTGGTGTGCGTCGCCTTGGGAGGACGCCCTAACCCTCGTTGGCATGGGTGCGCAGCTGAGTAGAATTGCAGCCCTAAAAAGGGCTGGCAGGGGTCGCGACGAGCACGCTTCTACAATGACCCCCAATTAATTACGTTATATATACATTTTACTAATGTATACAATAAATAAACTATAAAAATATATCCTATTTATACATGTATACAAATACATACGTACATACATAAGCATACATATATTCATACCAACATACATATACAAATGATACAAATATAATCATTGACGGCTTTTTAGTCATAAAATATTAATAGTATTGGATTGTTTGTTTATGTGAAATTCCTGTATGTAAAAAACCTCGATACAGGAGTAAATCCTATTGTATGCATAGTCCTGCGGTATGCAGGTACTTGCCCGTTTTTTATAAATTCTGATGACAATATGTTTTCGCTATGGTGGATTTTCGCCATTCATTACAATAACTAATGAAATTTGACATAGTATGTTCATCATCCAATCCTACATTTGCTTAGAGAGTACTTTCTGTGACGGAACAGAGGGATTTTTATCACATTTATTTGTATCGATATTTGATTATATATCGATACAACCTACCTGTTTTGTTCGATCATCATCATCATCACCATTACAGCCCATCACAAGGGCTGAACATAGGACTCCTCCAAGGTATGCCACAAAGCACAGTCTTTTATTGGTTTGTCAGATGTGTTAAATAATAATTATGCTGCGCGAACTGTTGGCGCTCACTTTAGTGCTCCAACTAGCGAGAATTTGTGAGCGGAAGACATACTAAGTAATCATAGATGTTGATGTAATTCATTTTTCATTTTGCAGAGGAGCTCTCCGACAGCAGCAGGGCTCCAGTAAATGGGGCTCGGAAGTCCGTGCTCTTCTCGCTAGTGGCATCAACAAACCTAAGAAAGGCCACGACGCCGGCGACCATCCTCCTATAACACCTTTGAGGCATGCATGTAAGTTCCTTCTATATTACCCAAGCCCACGACTTAATCATTAATTCTTAATGACTTAAGTATTTCAGAGCACTGTAGCGTAGGGATGGGCAAAGGAAAAAATATATCTATATTTTTAATCTATATTTTTGAATAGTATCGATATATATCGCGTGATAAATATCGATATATCGTCATTATTTGCATGGTGTAAAGATACGGTCCAAAGTTTTTTATTACTGGCGGTTGGACGACGAAAAAAAAACGACAACCAACCACACATGAATACTTTTGTACCTCTGATTGTGTAACATCATTAATACAACATTTTAAAATATATCGAAATTAATACGAATTCGATAGGTACTCTAAAATAAATATCGATATATCGTGATTTAAAATATCGACGACGATATTTTTAATAAATAGTCGATATTTCTATATATCGATAATTTTTGCCCAAGCCTATTGTAGCGCAGTAGATATCGTCTTTTGTTGTAGCTGTTCGGTGAACGTGCACTAACCCTTCATTGCATTTTTTTTTCTTTTTCAATGAAAATTTCTTTTTACTATATTTCTTTTATAGATAATCTATGAATTGATTGTAGCTAAATCGAATAAATGAAAAAATGCGTAGGCACCACTTTTTAGACCTTAAAGTGATGTGATTTCTCCCAAGAAAACTGTCCATCAGATCTACCCCTCCCATGTGCTTATTATATTCCTGTACTATCAGTGGGCAAGTTATTGAAATTTTTTCTTTCCTTACCTTATCATATCTTTGCACAGTGGTCTCAGACAATGCTCCAACATATGCAGATAGAAGGGTAACTATCTCATTGTCTTTCCAGGCCACACAAGTCATTTCAACGTCATCAACTATAGACACTCTTTCCTCATAGCTTCCTCTAGGATATGATTTCTTCATAAATTCTTTCTTGTCTGGTAATTTGGAATTTAGAATACGGTTTAACTGTACTGTGCCTACAGAGTAAATGTCTAGTTTGGCTAGGTAATATACCAATGGGACAGAGGTGTAGAAATTGTCGAAGTAAACAATGTGATTTAGCATTCTGGGGACTCCTCAAAGTAGATCAACTACTACATTCCCAGTAGCAACTAGGTCAGGTTCATTATCCAATATCTCTGATTTTTCTTTCCCAGAATAAATTTCAAATTTATAGGCATATGCCTCTAAACTACAAAGGACATAGAGTTTCAAACCTCGTTTGTGGGGCTTCTTTGGTAGATATTGCTTTAGAAAGTGTGCTACTTTCGTAGCACAACCTGGTATTGTCGAGTTCTATCACTGGACATTGATCAATCTCTATTCCAGCATTACTCGAACCCAAGAAAGCAATTTTATCTTCTGCAAATTTTTTACTCTTCTTTTTCCACACCAATCTCCTTTTTTCTAATAAATAGCCAAAGGCATTGCTTGAAGTAGCTCTTTGAGCAGTTATCTGTTCTCCTATGTATTCAATAAGAGGAGGATCATCTTCAGCAGCACCATCTTCATCATTTTTAGCTGTATTTTCCTCTTGTAACAATCTCATGATTTCAGGAGCGTCATGATGGTCATTATCATCAGATTCCTCGACATCCAGGTCATCTTCAGACAAATACCTATCTTCTAATTTAGACAGATACTCCTCAACTGCCCTAACATCCATATTTTCCTAACTAAAACAAGAAATATTGACAATTAGTTGGATTATGCGCGGCATACTTTACGAATGAAGTTATTGCATAATGATGTAAATTTACATCACACAATTTAGACCCTTATTCGATAAGTATTTCAATAAATCGAGCATAGAAAACAACTGACTATCAAAATACTAACCTGGTTTTCTCTATAAAATACATTGAGTTATAATGTACTATGTACTAGAGAAGCTATACCAAACAAAAAATGTTCGCTACTCTATGCCTTCGCGCATGCGCGGGAGATAGTAGAGTCGCGCATGCGCAGTTTTTGTCATCATAGATTATACGTAGGTAGAATGATCAGTATGTAATAAGTAAATATAAATAAATAAATAAACGCAGCCATTGTTCTTGGCACGATACCGCGGGGATTAGGACTATATGATAATTAAGTTTCTAGTTTTACCTTTTTTATTATTATAATTTTTAATATTGTAAAAAAAATTAAGATTTTAATTGACATTTATGTATAATGACGTAAGTTGAAACTGAGAATTTTTGTTAATTAATATTAATATAACACAATATTATGTCAGAATTACATTTTAATGATATTTTATTTCATATTTTAAAAGTAAATATGTAAAATATAAAAATATACATTTATTATCGAAGATCATTATCATTATTATACGCAGCTGGAGAATAATTAAAGGTGCATGCAGTATATAATAAATAATGCGTGCTCTGTTTATTTTTTTTTCATTAAAGATTTATGTGACTCCACAACTTCTGCTTTAGGCATTACGAGGGCTGCACTAAAAGTACCGGGAATAGAATATTTCCACTGTTCCTGTCATATTAAAATCTTTTTAATTGAAAAGTGCTTGGTTTTAAAAATCGAATACCATTTATTTATTTAAAAAAGATTCTCGGTCTTGCCACAAGGTTTTATCAAACTTGTTTAGTCGTTGAGAAAATGGAATTGACTCGAGAAAATTCAGGAGCGATGATTTATTATGACTTTCGAAGTGGTTTAACACAAAAACAGTGTGTTGACCGGATGATTTCTGCATTTGGTGATGAAGCCCCATCCAAAACCACAATTTGTCGCTGGTTTGCTGAATTTCAACGTGAACGTGTCAAGCTCAGTGATGATCCCCGTCAAGGTCGTCCAAAAACTGCAGTCACCCAAGAAAACGTTGATGCTGTGCGTAAGTTGATTGAAGAAGATCGTCATGTGACATACCGCGAAATTCAGGCAACTTTAGACATTGGCATGAGTCAAATACAAATAATCTTGCATGAACAATTAGGTGTAAAAAAGTTGTTTTCCCGATGGATACCGCATTCGCTCTGTGAAGAGCAAAAAGCGGCTCGCGTTACTTGGTGCGTTAGAACTCTCGAAAGATTCCACACAGGATCCTCAAATGCTGTATACAACATCGTATCAGGTGACGAATCCTGGATATATGCGTACGAACCCGAAACAAAAAACCAGTCACGAGTTTGGGTGTTCGAAAATGAGTTAAAGCCAACAAAAATTGTTCGTTCACGGAGTGTTGCAAAAAAAAATGGTGGCCACGTTTGTCTCCAAAACCGGCCATGTTACGACTATTCTTCTTGAGGGACACGGAATGGTTAATGCAGAATGGTATGCTAGCATTTGTTTGCCACAGGTCGTTTCTGAACTCCGTAAAGAGAACTACAACCGCCGCATCATCCTCCATCACGACAATGCGAGTTCTCACACCGCACACAGAACAAAAGAGTTTTTAGAGCAAGAAAACATAGAATTATTAGACCATCCGCCGTACAGCCCCGACCTAAGCCCTAATGATTTCTATACTTTCCCTAAAATAAAGAATAAATTGCGTGGACAGAGATTTTCATCACATGAAAAAGCTGTGGACGCCTACAAAACGGCCATTTTGGAAACCCCAACTCCGAATGGAATGGTTGCTTCAATGATTGGTTCCATCGTATGGAAAATGTGTCAAATTTCGCGGAGAATACTTCGAAAAGCAATAAATACATTTTTAAATAGTAATGTTGTATCACTTCCTTGATTCCCGAAATTTTCAGTGCCGCCCTCGTAAATCAATCTCAGCATTTTGTTTGAGACCGAATTTATGTTAAAAATTTTGTACAATTGATTTGTAAGAAGCACATTTTGTCTTTAGATAAGTATTTTCTTAAATTTCTCAGTAAGTTTCTTTCTAGCTGCAGATTCCTTGCTATTAAATAAAAAACACAATATTACAACGTGCTCATATTTTATTATTTTTATAATGACATAGAATTATTGATTCCGTTACTAAGGTCATTCCGTAGAACTATATTTAAAAGATTAGGCTTCGTATACATCACTCCAATTAGGCTTAGAACACATTACTTGCGTAATTTATTTTTAAGTACAATTTCTCTCCGACTATCAAACATTGAATTTGACCTGCTTTTTGACCTTATTGATTCAGACAACCATTCTTATACCTACTTCCTGTTCACCACATTTTGTTGGCTGAAAAAAGATACTAGTTATTTGTGAAGCCTATAAAAATTCTAGCGTTACAATATTAATAAACGGCCATATACTAGTATGACTCGCGCGCCGAAGGTTCCGCCTCTCTTAAGTCTCGTAAATATACTGAACATTACAAAAGAAAATCGTTCGTATATATAAATAATATAATTATCATATATCCGCAGTAGAACCAGAGTAACCGACATAGCCGAATTAGTATGGTGAAGTGGCAATGGGCGAGCCATATAGCTCGAAGAGTCGAGAACCGATGGGGAAGAAAGGTTCTCGACTGGCAGCATCGTATCGGCAGGCGAAGTGTAGGTCGTCCCTAGATGGAGTGATGATCTGGTCATGCAAAAAGTGAATGGATCCAGGTGGTTCGGGATCGTGCTTTGTGGCATTCTTTGGGGGAGGCCTATGTTCATCAGTGGACTTATGAAGGGCTGTAATAATGATTATGATGATGATGATTGATGAGTACTGCAGATTTCTTTAAGTATACTCTTCCTGTTTTTGTGATGTATTTGTAGTTACCTTTTAAATGTACGGAACATATACTTGAATAATTTGACGGTAACCAGGTTTCTTCGCTGCAATTCGTCTGAACAAATTTGATCCATGATTCTTTTGTTTCATGACACGGCCGAGAAAATATTAATTTTAATGCATTAACATTTCCTATCGTGATTATATATTAATATTTTACTGGTCATATTTTTACTTAACATTATACGTCGTTAGTGTCATGTCTGCGCATAAAATGTTTTAATCTTTGACATTCACGTATACGTTGCAGTTGATAAAATATAATTAAATTAAGCGTGTTTTAAAGATAATAATATGTTGAACTTACCGGTGAAAAGTCACTCCTTGACTTTTACTTATGTTTCTCGAGTTGTTTGAACAGTATCCCAATGCTTAGGCATAATTAATTAAAAAAAAATTCTTCACTCAAACGTCTCACGTTCCAGTAACCGCTTGACACAGACTAAGTGAGTTGGAGAGCGCACACTAACTCATGTTACAAACAATCGAGTTGAGGCGTCTTCTTTAGTACGTAGTACATTATAACTCAATGATAAAATACAATTTTTCACGAAAATAGTAGTTTATTCTTCAAAAATAAATCACAACAAAAGCACGTTCACCGAAATAACCAAAAACGGACTAATGCACACTTTATTTGTCAAATATCTTTGACATCTGTTGTTTCTTCCTTCACAATTGTGTTTTGTTCCACTCAGTAGTCTGTCATGATTTTTCCAGAAACAAAACAAAATAAAATAACAACGTCGTTCTATACTTTTTTATCGTTTAAATAGTATGACGGAAATTTCCATCACCATGCAGCGGAGGGCTAAAATATTATTTACCGTTACCGTTACAGCCTGTTAAAGTCCACTGCTGAACATATGCCTCTCCATAGATTGCCTCACAGGGGTGATATTTTCCATAGTTGCCACGCTTCGCAAGCGGGTTGGCAACAGCATTTTTTAAATTTAGTTGTTATTAGGAAGGCGCTCCCATAGTGCCGTATAGTGGCGGTTAAGAATATTAACTACCCCATATCTTCTCGCGGAGGTCGTAGGAGGCGACAGTGGGAAACAGGCAGGAGATGGACAGTAGCATCTTCCTGATAACAGCAATATTACAATAAATAAACTGCGATTGCCAACCCGCTCGCCAAGCGTGGTAACTATGGCAAATATCCCCCCGTGATGAAAGTTACGAAGAGACGGCTCCCAGTCCCAGGCGGCCCCGCTACTTCCTGGTTACGATGGCGACCATGGTAACGGCGGGGCAGGGGATGCTAAGAATTAAGAATCTTCGGTGGAGGTTCGGTAACCACCTAAGACGGCTCGACCTAGCAACATACAACCCACGCACCTTGAGGACTGACGAGAAGATCCTGGAGCTGGAAAAAGAGATAGACAAGTTACGCTGGCATATTATGGGATTATCCGAGGTCCAAAGAGAGGGGGAGTACACGGTAATCCTCGAATCCGGCAACTTATTCTATCACCAGGAGGGCGACCAGCTGTCCCAAGGAGGTTTCGGATTTATCGTCCACAAGTCTCTCGTTAACAACGTTATAAAGATTGTGAGTGTGTCGACCAGGGTTGCGTACCTTATACCCAGAATCACCAAACGGTATTCATTGAAGCTCATACAGGTTTACGCATCAATCTCGGCACATCCCGATGAGAAGGTGGAGGAAATATATGAGGATATCTCTAATGCCATGCATTCCAATTCAAACCTCCTTCCTCCAAAAACCCAGTATATGGTTTTAATGGGAGACGTCAATGCAAAACTAGGCACAAGACAACGGTGAGCTGAAGGTAGAGAAATTTGAAATAGGGCAAAAAAACCCAAGGGGTCAGCAACTGGCCGACTTCATGGATAAAGAGGGACTCTTTATGATGAACTCTTTCTTCAAGAAACGGCCCCACAGGAAGTGGACCTGGTCAAGCCCCAATGATTCGATAAAAAATGAGATTGACTTCATTATGGCGACCAGACGACAACTGTTCAGTGATCGCAAGGGTGAAAATTGGTAGCGATCACCGAATGGTTAGAGGCACACTGAACCTAAACGTTATGTTGGAGAGGTTTTGTCTAATGAAGTCAACGCTCAGTCCCCCTCGTGCTCTAATCGAAAGGCCCGAAACCTTTCAGCTCGAGTTACTAAACCGTTTTCAGTGCCTAGAAGAATGCAATGAAGTTGACGATATGAATGTTAACCACGTGAAAACTGTCCATGCGGTCGGAGCTAAATTCTGCAAGAGCTGCCGCAGAAGAACACAAAAACTCTCTGATCACACTGTTTAATCTCATGGCTGTTAGACGGGAAATGAAGCTACAATTTTCAACACATTTGACAGCATACAGGCAACTGATCAGACAGACCTCCAAATGCATGCGGTGGGACTAAAGCAACTTCAATACAGCTTGTATTGAAGAAGCGATCGAGCGGAACCAAGGCTCCAAAGTCTTTGCCAGAGATTTGTCTGCCAGAAAGAGCCAGCTGTCAAAGCTGAAGACCGAGTGTGGCAGCATTGTTTCCGGGGCACCTGAGATTTTGAGTGAGATTGAGAGGTTCCATGAACAGCTGTACACGTCATCGTTGGAGCCACACGCAAGTGTGAGTAACGATCCAAGAGCGAGTCTTATCCGATACTATTCCGATGATATCCTTAACGTCAGTCTAAGCGAGAGTAGAATGGCTCCCCAGCACCTTAAAACGGCAAGGCCTCAGGTGAGGATGGAATTACAGCTGTGATGATGATGAGTGTTGCTGTGTTTGTGTGTACACTTGTGGCACAGTTACATCTTCAGCGTAGTCAATAGTTTCCAATATCTGAGATGGACATTATAAAATGATTTTAAACGTATGTGGTATGTGACACCAGCGGAATCGGAACTGGAGGGCGACATGTGGCGCATCTACGACTACGTGACGCGACATTTCATTGCGACACTGTCCCGAGACTGCAAGTATCTCTGCACTACCATCACGTTCCAGATCGGATCTGAGACCTTCTCTTATTCGGGCAACGCACTTGTCGACGCGGGTTACACGGAGATTATGCATTGGCAAGTTAGTAAACAAAGATTTTTTTCTTTAAATTTCAAATGTTAAAAGATAAAGACATAAAAGGCTTTTAGCACTCCTTTTTCCATTGCAAGCATAGTTGTCCAGCACGAGGTGAGTGTGGGACTATTTATATATTTATAAATTATATTTTCGTATTTGTTTTACTACTTGTTTTACTTAGCGTCTTCGCCCGCGTCGAAATGTTTACTATTGGATTTCATGAGTTTTAATTATTTTGTGTGTAACCTTAATTATTTTTCCAAAACAAAAGCACCTTTTGTTACTCTTTATAATGTCAGCTGTCTGCCAGTGAAAGTCCCATCGAAATTGGTCCTGCCATTTCGTAGATTAGCCGGAACAAACAGACAGACAGATGTTATAAGTATCGTATAAAATATACTTTCATATGCATTTTGTAAAAATACATACAGACACCTCAATTTATTTGTATGGATAATTGAATATTCTAGGGTTTGGCTGAATTATGGTTGGTGTGCCGTATGGCTAAGTATGTTGACAGCGTAAGAAGATTAATCTTGTGGATATCGTACTACTCGACTAAGAGAAATACTAGAAGCGTTTCTTCGTGCATCAGGGCCGTGGGTTTTACGGAATTAGTTTTTGTATAGATTACAAGTATTGGCATAAAGTGGATGGCAGAAAACTATCCAAGATTGCCAGATTAAAAGTGATGCTTCACCAGTAAACTGTTATTACTTGATGATAACGTTAATAAATAAAACTTTCTTCCAGGCTTTGGGCAAAGATGAATTCGTTCCCGTTCTTAATGTAGATGACGTTTTGAAGGCACACGACCACAGACTGGTCGAGTGCCAGACTTCCCCTCCGGACTATCTTACCGAATCTGAGGTAAAATAAAATTTAATGCATGTTTTTTAATAATTATTCTGTATAACATGTGAACGAATACCAGGTAGGATGGTTAGGAAATGCAATAAGTATCTAGATCGCGACGAAGATTATATTACTATCTTGTTCTTAAGCATCTTGTAAACGTCCACTGTTGGATAGTAGTGTCTCAAGACTTTAATTGTCAATTTTTTTAGAGCCGTGATAGCTTAGATGGTTAGCGCTCGCTGTAAATTTCACAGTACGCGAGCAACCCGGGTTCGATCCCCGCCGGCACCTATGAAATTGTTAATTGCAATTTTAAGTGCTGATTTATCACGTGCTCGACGTCGAAGGAAAAAGTCGTGAGGAAACCTGCAAATCAAAAATTTCGAAGACATGATGTGAAGTTCGCCAACACGCATTGGGGCAGCGTGGCGGACACTTCCTTGCCTTAAAACCCTCTCAGAATTGCGGGGAGGCCTGTGCCCAGCAGTGGGACGTATGCAGGCTGTAACTTAAAGTTTTAAATTTCTATTTATTTAATATTATTTCAAAAATTACACTTTGATTTTAGTAGGCAACGCATCTGCAATTCCCCTGGTGTTGCAGTTGTTGGTGAGCCGCATGCTCGTTTGCCCCCTCCTATAAAAAAAAACGGCCGAGAAGGCCGAAAACATGTACTGGCAGTATAAGAATATCCACTACTCTATATTGTCCCGTGAGTGTCGTAAGAGGCGACAGAGGGAAACAAAGCAGGAGATGGGCAGCAGTGTATTCCTTATAACATAAAAAATGCGATTGTCAACCCGCCTGCCAAGTGTGGCAACTATGGCAATATCTACCATATGATGCTATCTATGGGGCCTATGGTCAGCCGTCGACGTTTGATAGACTATAATGATGATGATTAAAGGCGCCAAGATACTACGATGTGATGTTCTCATAGATGTTTTGTAGTTTTTTTGATATCGCGTAATTGTATTTCAATAGAAATGAGTGTCCATAACCAAAATCCCCATGCATTTGTACTCATTCCGTTCCCTGTTTTTGCGCAAATATGTACGGCACTTAAATAACCAGCTTTCCCGATCGTCTGTGATTTTGAACCGTTCCTTGGCTTCCTAGTTTACTCAGCAGCTCTTATCCAGGTGATCACTCTGATGGAGAAGCACGGCATCGGCACGGACGCATCCATCCCGGTGCACATAAACAACATCTGTCAGCGAAACTACGTGTCTGTTGGCAGTGGTCGAAGACTCATACCCACGAATCTCGGCATTGTACTAGTCCACGGTTATCAAAAGGTTTGTTCTTAGCCATTGCATTAATTTTAAGATTAAGTTAAAAATAGTAAAAAATAAAATACAGAGGACATTTTGTAGAAGGAAAAGGGGAGATCTCCCGCCGGGCAAGGTGTTCTGCCCGGGGAACGGCCAACGCTCCGAGTGGTAGTTCGGAGCTATTCTATATATACTGCTTTAACTTCGGAACTTTGTTAGCGCGATTTAGGCTTCGATGTGTTTCGCTTGTGGCATGACGACAGCGCCGCCACATCACCCCTCTGCTCAGACCGGAGGTCGATAGTGCAGTCCGATTACCGGTGCGTCCTTAATGCCGGTGGGGAATGCATGTTTAAGAATTTTTTTGCCGTAATCGCCATTGTAGGTTATCTGATTGTTTTTATATGTTTTATATGTTTACTAGCTTGCCAGACAGACCTTGTTCTGCCCTTTTCGACGACCTTTCACATAAAAAATCCTAAATTCGTAATAAAAAAATATTGAGGGTCAATTATCAGGATAAAAATTATCCTATCTTTCAAGTTGGACCAAACTGCACAGAGTGTTCAAAATTTCATTGAAATCAGTTCAGTAGTTTAGGAGTTCATCGCGGACAAACAACGTGACACGTAATTTTTATATATAAAGATTATTATTGCTATTTATATTTTTCTGTTGGTGATGAAGTTATTCAATATTGATACATACTAAGTTTTCAATTAAGCGCAGTAGCATCTTATTGATAAGAATTCAAAATAATAAAAAAAAAACTGCTATTGCTAACCCGCCTCCTAATCATGAGGAAAACTATTGGGAGGCATATGTTCACTATTGGACTTAAAAGTGCTGTAATGTAAGTATTAGTTTAGTTACTGCTTCTCTGCAACATTATGCATATTGCGCTATTTTCACAACACTCTCCAGTAGGAGCCATGTGATGAAGTTTACTAACGTGCAACCGCAAACACAACAACTTTTAAGGTTCTACTGTAATAAAAGTATACCCTTATAATTTAGTTTAGTCTCTAACTTAATATCTTAATATGTCACAGCACGGTATTTCATCTTTTTGATCAAATTAATAGTGTTTATTATAAAAGTATTGCGATAAAGTTTATATTTAAAATAAAAACAAGTGGTAAATTAAAAAAAAAATTGTGCAACGAACTTCAATATACATAAAATTAGAACATCATCAATGTAGCCAATGTCAGTAAAATACGCAGTATTAAGGATCACTCAAAAGCCATCACTCATGGGCAAGTTATATTAAATGGAGGTTCCATTCTCACTCATTGAACTATCTAAGTTTGTGAACCCGTAGTTTGACACCAGTACAACTAAGAATGGAAAAATAGGCTATAAAGCTTCTAATGTAACTAGTTAGACGACATTCTTGTAATTTGTCACCTTAAGCATGTGCTATTTCTTAGTCCACTCAAAATGAACATCTTATTAAAATGCAGAAATTGATTTCAAATTATTTAAAATTAAAATTTTTGTACAACCGACTTCAATATAAATTATTAAGAATAACTCAAAAACTGTTGGTCAGATCTTGATCAAATTTATATGGGGCCACACGAGAAGCACTAGCTTTGAGTACCTTCTCCTTTTATGACGTCGGTTAAAAATATATTCTCCCGATATAGGTTGTAATTGTGACTTTTTCTAATGTTAAATTAGTTAGTACTACTAGTAGTATTATTTTCTAACTAGTATAGTATTATAGTGGATTTCGGGTATAATAATAATAACAACGATGAAGGGACGACTCTATTTTCGTCGTTATAACCGGAAGTCGTTACAGGCAAAGGTAACAAATTTAATACATTACAGTTGCTACTCAGAATACCATAAATTTAACTCCGAAACGTACACGCTTGTCTACCTACTTAGCCGATATCTATAAACAAAAGGTAAAGATCTCCACACTTGCTGACCATCTGTATGGATGTAAACAAAACATAAGAAATGTTTGTGAAAGAAAGAAATCTTTGTCTTTGGCGGCCGACTCTGGTCGCAATATCTGCATGGGATTTCTAGGAATTGGTTACAAATAGTTCATTAAAAACAGTCGCTACACCCGAACTCCGGGTAACATACAAAGTCGCTATAGCCACATGAATTTTGTACTAAAATATGCTTTAAATTCAAGGGACTTAGATTTAACGTCGCTATAGGCAAATGGTCGCTACAACCAAGGTCGTAATAAATGAAATCCACTGTATTTTTAACTTGATCGTCAGATTTATATACACCTTACCTATTTACAATTCGCTGTAAATAGCAGTTCTTTGCTAAATAAGGGTTCCACAGCGATAAAACCGCCTATTGTACTTCGTATATATTTATTTCATTTTGTTTACATTCTAATGTTTATTTTTCCATACTTTCCTTGCATTTAAAAATCGGAAAAATCCTATAAAATAGCATTTACTGAATAATTTTGACTGAAGTAATTCTGAACACTATAACGTTCAAACTTCCATATTAGTATTAATCTGCATATTGGAACTCTTATCTTACGTGTGTCCAGACATGCTTATGACCCATGTAAAAATATAGCCATAATACCACCATCTGAGCAATTTTACATGTAATTTCAGATCGACCCAGAACTAGTCCTACCCACAATGCGATCCGCCGTAGAGGAACAGCTAAATCTCATCGCAGTCGGTCGAGCGGACTTCCACGCCGTTTTATCGCATACTACGGAAATATTCCGTAGAAAGTTCCAGTACTTTGTGCGCTCCATCGAAGCTATGGATCAGCTGTTCGAGGTGAACTTTTCGTCGCTGAAAGCTAGTGGGAAGGCGCTGTCTAGATGCGGGAAGTGTAGAAGATATATGAGATACATTCAGGTGATAAGATTTTCTGTTTTGATCGTCTGACTGTCTGAGGCAATAATATGTTTGTTAATGAGTTATGAAATATCATAAAAAATAAGTTCGCATTGTTCTTTAATTGGTGTTTTCTTTTTGGCGAAAGCCCTTATAGCTAATGCCAGTAATTAATAAGAAAAGATTCATATTACATGGTGATGGTTGGAAAATATCTTACATTACAGGCGAAGCCGGCACGTCTCCATTGTTCTCACTGTGACGACACTTACGCGCTGCCACAGAATGGCACCGTACGCATCTACCGCGAACTCAAGTGCCCGCTGGACGACTTCGAGCTGCTCTCCTGGTCGTCCGGCAACCGAGGCAAGAGCTTCCCGCTCTGCCCATACTGCTACAACCATCCGCCTTTCAGGTTTATGTTCTCCTAGTACATTAGTCCTACTGAGCGGGGGCGGCGTAAGATAATGCACACCATTTTATCCCGTTGATTTCTTAGATACATTATAGGAATAACCAGAAATGCCCTTTTTTATATAAAACTAAACTGATACACATGATGGTAAATGGCTACTGCAGCCCATGGACACCTGCAGCTAACTTGAAGGCTTACAGGTGCGTTGTCCCGTCTGAGGACTAAGATGCACTGCAAGTGCCTCACAGTCTCTAATTTTAATGGCTCTCTATTCCCTACAGACTGGAACACAGCGAGCGTGCAAGCACTGCTACTTGGTGGCATAAACATATAAGAAGGAGGCTAAGCAGAAAAAAGTCCAAGAAAGACTCCTAAACAGGAAAAGAAAGTCAGTAGAAGAAGTACCTATCATACTTCGTTTACAATTTGACACAATTAAGTCTTGCTTATATTAGTAAGGTTGAGTACCTACCTAATATATTGTTAATGCCTATACATTTTAATTTGACAGGGGATTGACGTTGATCCTTGTTGTTCAGATATAAAGACTGATTTTTCATAAATCGTTGACATTGCTATTAGAATATTAGAATACCTTTAGCGCATGGAAAAAGCACTCTTTTCAAGAAAGGATATTATAAATTAGATGACTAGGCGTTTGAAAGATAATAATGCGTGGACATAATCAGCTTCTTTAAACTTTTATTTTACTTATATATCTTTTAAAACGATAAATGAGAAGAGTGGCAAAGCAAGTTTATGTTGCAGAGGTGAACGGCAGAGCCGGGAAGGGACGCCCTAGGCGAGAGTTTATCGATCGAATTGGCGATATATTAAAATGGGCCAAATCAAGAGTACCTTTAACCGATGAGCGTGTATGCGTAGGTATATGGATGTGGAGGAAGCAAGAGAGGTGTGTCAGGATCGTGCAAAATGGAAGTCGATAGTCTCTGCCTACTCCTCTGGGTGACAAGCGTGAGTGTTTATGCATGATAATTTGTAACTGTTGGGAAAAATAGTACTTATACTTATCTTCACGCACAATCCCTGACGGGGTAGCCAGAGAGAACAGATCGCCAAGTGTCACGATCCTTACAAACCTCTCTCGCTTCTTTCAGATTCATTATCTTCTTCATGCATGCACGTCTAGGTATCCGAGTACTTTTGACCCTACCCTCTTCGAGCAATTTGCTCACATGGTCTTCGAAAGTTAGTCTCGGTCTACCTCGACACCTTTTAATATTAACTTTCGCGCTATATATTTTCTTCACCATTCGGTCTTCACTCATTCGCTCAACGTGCCCAAACCACCGAAGCACGCCCTTATCAATTTTTGTGATAAGGTCATCTTTCAAACCTGCCATATTGCGAATCTCTTCGTTTCGCTTTCGGTCGGCCATGGTAACGCCGCACATTTTACGAAGAGATCGCATCTCCACTGCATTCAACTTACTTTTATGCTTTTCTATTTGTGAGTTTCTTGCGCTTCTTCTCACTAGGTCTGCTAGCAGTAGGGACTTGTTGAAGTTATGACGTAGCATTTAACTATCAAAAAATATTTGACTTTGACTATAATAGTGATGTGTTCGTCGGCAGGGACATGAAGAAGGGGTTCGGTTGCAACTCGTGCACGCACCCCACGTGCCCGTACGGCGTGAACTCGACGGGCGTGTCGGGCTGCGTGGAGTGCGACGCCGGCGTGCTCGTGCTCGACCCCTCCGCGCCCAAGTGGAAGCTCGCCTGCAACAGGTACCTCTGACACTTAGGCTTCACCTTTATACGGCCTACAGTGTCGATCGATCGCAGTTTTATACGTTTTCGCACTTTCCTAACACGCCATGTCATAGCACAACGAGCTGAGGGTAGGGAAATTTGGAATAGGGTAAGCTAAGTTTATTGATAAGACAAAAATGGAAGGCCACTACCTACACATTTTAAAATCATGTTTAAATGTTAGTGACATACTTTATTTCGAAAAGGTACAATTATTTTGAAAAATACTCAAAAACACGAAATCTATCACAATGACGAGCCACAATGCCAAATGCGCATGCCGCATGACAAGTTGACAAGTTGAAACTCGAAGTTACGAAGTTAAGTCTCCTTCGGAATAGGCAATAACCAATGACCACACAGCCTATTCAGTCGTGTAGGATAATGTTCAAATGTTTGTTTTAGTTTAATAAAATAACCTATTCAATAGTTTTCTAAATACATTTCATTTATTCAATATTAATCTCTACAGATTCGCCTCAATTTTTAAATATTTTTTTTTTTGATAATGAAGACTATTTTTTTTATAAAATAGCCCGCATTATCTATTGCCATAGACAAAATACTGAAAAATATTTAAAAACGTTTCGTTTTTGGTATAGTAAAAGCATTAGTTTTCGTTTTTCAATTTAAAAAAAAATGTTTTTATAACTGTCGCAAGTATTACAGAAATAAAAACTAATTATTTATACTAATAATTTATTGTTTTTTAACCTACATATTTTTGTATAACTGTTACTAACGATGTGAATCACCCAATTACCTACATCTCTTTTTGGCGGTGCTGTAGTCCCATCAGCGGTGCCAATTCGACTGTCGGTATATCGAAGTGTTGAAGTGTTTGGACAGTAGGTAGTATCCGAGTACAGAACCAGAGTACGAAAACTATCCAACTGCAGAGAAGTGTAAGACAGGGTAACGTTATATCCCTGAAACTTCACCGCTGCATTGGAAGACGTTTTCAAGCTACTGGACTGGAGAGCATATACGGTATTAACGACAATGGCGAGTACATCACTCACCTTTTCACCGATTTAGCCCTTATGGCAAAATCGCTGAAGGACCTAAGCACTATGCTCAATGACCTCAATAATGACGTCAGGGGTCAGGATAAACTAAGGATAAATAAGTAAGTAATAAACTAAGGATAAATAGGATAGGATAAACGGATAGGTCTTAAGATAAACATGGACAAAACAAATATCATGTATAACGTTCATGTCACCTATGCCGGTAGTTGTTGGGAGCACTAAGTTCGAAGTTGTTGACGAGTACGTTTACCTGGGACAAATAGTCCGACTAGGTAAGTCCAACTTCGACCGAGAGGTCAATCGAGGGATTCAACTCGGCTGGGAAGCGTTCGGGAAATTACGACACATCTCGTCAGGTATGCCTCAAAACTTGAAAACGATGTGATCTGATGACTTACGGAGCTGAGACGTGGTCTTTCACTGCTGGCCGTATGAGGAAGCTCAAGGTCACTCAGAGAGCTATGCTCGGGGTTTCTCTGCGTGATAAACTTAGAAACGAGGATATCCGCAGTAAAACCAGAGTGACCCACATAGCCCAACGAATTAGTAAGCTGAAGTGGCAATGGGCCGGCCATATAGCTCGAAGAACCGACAACCGATGGGGAAAAAAGGTTCTCGAGTGGCAGCCTCGTACCGATAAGCGAAGTGTAGGGCGACCCTCCACTAGGTTCCACAGGGCTCGGTGCTGGGGCAGCTACTGTGGAACCTCGCCTATGATGCGGTTCTGCGAATTGAACTTCCCGCTGGCGGTAGATATCGTTTGCTATGCCCACGATACGTTAGTGGTTGCCAGCGGAGTTACCTTCGAGATGGCCAAAAAGCTCGCCGAACTTGAGGCGGAAGTCGTTGTCGCCAAAATCCACGAGTTGGGATTAGAAATAGCGCCTCACAAGACCGAGGCGCTATGGTTCCATAAATTGTGACGCGGCAGGGTACCACCCGACTCGTGCGTCCGCGTAGGTGGGTCTGAAGTCGGAGTGGGGCGGTACATGAAGTACCTAGGCCGCCACCTGGACAGTCGATGGGGCTTCGAAGAACACTTCGAGCGCCTTGTCCCCAGAATTGAAAGAGTAGCGGGTGCTATGCATAGACTGCTGCCCAATCTACGGGGACCAAGGGAAGAAGTGCGTCGCCTCTATGCAGGAGTGATACGGTCCGTAGCCTTGTACGGGGCGCCTGTTTGGGCGAAAAGGCTGGCCATCCAACGCTGTAGAGCTAAAATCTACAGGGTGTAGCGGAGGATGGCCATACGGATTGTGCGAGGATACCGCACGATATCCTTTGAAGTGGCGATAATCCTGGCTCGCTTTCCACCTCTGGACATACTGGCGGACATGCGAGGGTGTACGACCGGACGCGTGTCCTCCGCGAGACCGTCGGGAGTGAGCCAGATGAGGTGTTCGAAGGAGTCAAGCGGCAGGAACGACTTAACGCATTCGTAACGTGGCGCACTCGCCTCTCTGAAGAGCGTTATGCGTGCAAACGTTGTTGGAGCAATTCTGCTGCACTTTGAAGCCTGGATGCGACGAAGAACAGGAAGACACCTACAGACTTACACAGATAATGACCGGGCACGGGTGCTTCGGTGATTATTTGTGTAAGATTGGACGCGAAGCGACGGCGAACTGATTCCACTGCGGTGGGCAGGAACATAACTCCGCATCCCATACGCTGGCAACATGCCCAGTGTGGAAACGGGAGCGAACGGTCCTGGATCCTGGTAAGCTATATCGGTCAGAATCTCTCCCTGTCAGCAGTCATGTCGGCGATGCTGAGCAGGGACTCCGCGTGGAGGGCTGTAGCCGCCTTCTGTGAATCCGTTATGATCCAGAAGGAGGCTGCTGAGCGGTGTCGAGAGAGGACAGATCCCACTCTAAGACCAAGAACAAGCTCAAAGACCAAGAAGAACGCCAAGGCGTTCGACAGAGCCCTCCCCTTGATGATGGTGTTCCCCTACCAGAAACGGGGCCTTGGGGATTATGAGTACGAGTTGTAACACCTGAGGATGACGGTGACTCGAAAGTGGTCTCGAGCACCGTTATAGCATTGCGAGGGTGCTGGGGGTAGTAAGGACTGCCCCCGGAACGTGCTTCAATAGAGCAAAGCGTGAGAGGGGCCCCGGTTGCATTCCGAACGGAGATCCCGGGATCCCTCATATACGCTGATGGAGACCACCGTGGGGTTTTGGGTGGTAGGAGTCCGGCATAACCTTTCCGTTGCCCCGCAACAGAAGGTATCCATGAGGATTTCCCCACAATAAAAAAAAGGGCGACCTCCCACTAAATGGAGTGACGACCTGGTAAGATATGCAGGAAGTCGATGGATGCAGGTGGCTTAGGTCCGTGCTTTGTGGCATTCCTTGGGGGAGGCCTATGTTCAGCAGTGAACTTCTGAAGGGGTGTAATGACGGGGATGATGTATATTAACCTTACAAATTTAAATATTGTTTTTTCTTTCTGATAAATATTTTTTATAGAGTCATTCTTGTATTTATGTACCTACTATACTTTTTGAGCTTTTTCAGTCGTTTCCTCACCTCATTTCACAAAGTACCTTTGTATAAACCGTAACCTCATTTATTCGTAGTTGCTTACCTGCTCGCGACATCAAGTCATTGTATAATACAGGGCAGGGTTATTTTTGAAAGAGTAGTCAAATTTTATATTTAAGTTCAAATATATAAACAAAGAAATAGGGATATTACAGTTTTTAAAAATACGAGTAAATAAGGCTTCTACTTTGGGTAACAACTACGCGCATGTGCGCTCTTGTGTGTGCGATTTGATTTACGTTTTAATTTCTCTAGTTTTTGTCTACTGTTTACTATCTTGGTACACGTAGACACGCTTAGTAATAAGTGTTCTTGTATATATTAATGACTTCCATAGTAGGGGATGATATATTATTATTTGCTGTTAATACTTCAATAATTTTTAAATTAAAACGACAATTATTAAAATATGACGAAGTAAACAATGCTATATCTAAATTAGTAAATTGGTTTAACGTTAATAATTTGCATTTAAATGGCACTGAAACTAAATGTATGAATTTCATAATTCCAAATGTAAAACATCTAAATACTAATGTAATTGTAAATGGGTAGGAGCCGAGTCTTGTCGATACTACCATTTTTCTTAGAATCACATTAGATGCGATACCCCCATATATCTAAACTAGCTAGCGGACTTAGTTCTGCAGCATATGCTGTAAAAAAGATTACAAATCTTACCAGCGTTGAAAAAGCTAGACTAGTTTTCTTTATTAATTTCCATAGCATTATGTCGTATGGTATTTTTCTATGGGGACACGCGACTGATACTGAAATTATATTTGTTTTACAGAAGAGGCACATAAGAGCAATCTATGATTTAAAACCTAAAGAGTCGTTTAGACAAAATTTTAAGGAAATTATTATTCACTTAGCTTCTCAACACATTTACGAAAATGTAATGTATGTACACAAAAGAAAAGTAGTTTTAAAAAAATGAGTGATGCTCATTCCGTAAATACTAGAAACAGACTTGTGTCTGCTCCTAGTATTTACAGAATTAGCTTAGCATGTGCTAGTAGTACCAGTTACTTGACTCCACCGAGTCAGTAATTCATTCTTGGGGCGATATATTACAACAAAATTCCAGCAAATATACCAACTTTGACTTCCTCGAAGTTCAAAAACTTTATCAAACAGTTTGAATAACAAGGGTTATTAAAATATTAAGGATAATTACCCCCGGGGATGAGGTGATCGCTATCTAGCTATTTCTAATTAATTTTGTGTTATTAATTGTGTAACATATATGATTAGAAGCTGGTTTTTTTAATGTCCCGCTGGGTTTCTTGTTGGTTCTACTCAGAACAAAGAGTTTTTTCCGAACCAGTGGTAAATAAAACAAAAGAGTGTCTTGCAATAAGTATTATTTATAATCTATGTTGAATTAATCCATATTGAATAATAAAAGTTTCCGTTTCTGTTATGTCAGACGTTAAAGTATCCAAACTGACGATGATGAGCAACAGCGTCGAACGTGCGAGACGTCTGGTATTGCGATCGTCGTCAACTGGCCCGCCAAGCGTGACGAAGGAATTGTTTTAATGCAACTTCTTGCGTGACCGATGTCCAGCTGTAGACTTTTACGAGGCGTTCTCGCGATAAGAAAAAATTAATGTCTTATACTGAATTGTTTGGTGCAGATGTGACGTGATCATCAACATCTTCGAGGACGCGAGTCGCGTGACGGTGTGCGAGCAGGCGTGCGGCGCGTGCGGCGCGCAGCTCGTGTGTGTGGAGTACCGCGCCGAGCGCACGCGCCTGCCCGCCGCGCTCACCGAGATGACCGCCTGCCTCTACTGCGAGCCCAGCTTCAGCGCGTTGGTGAGCTGCACGTACACGCATGCACGCACACATACACACATACATACACGCCGCGTGCGTGGAGTACCGCGCCGAGCGCACGCGCCTGCCCGCCGCGCTCACCGAGATGACCGCCTGCCTCTACTGCGAGCCCAGCTTCAGCGCGTTGGTGAGCTGCACGTACACGCATGCACGCACACATACACACATACATACACGCCGCGTGCGTGGAGTACCGCGCCGAGCGCACGCGCCTGCCCGCCGCGCTCACCGAGATGACCGCCTGCCTCTACTGCGAGCCCAGCTTCAGCGCGTTGGTGAGCTGCACGTACACGCATGCACGCACACATACACACATACATACACGCCGCGTGCGTGGAGTACCGCGCCGAGCGCACGCGCCTGCCCGCCGCGCTCACCGAGATGACCGCCTGCCTCTACTGCGAGCCCAGCTTCAGCGCGTTGGTGAGCTGCACGTACACGCATGCACGCACACATACACACATACATACACGCCGCGTGCGTGGAGTACCGCGCCGAGCGCACGCGCCTGCCCGCCGCGCTCACCGAGATGACCGCCTGCCTCTACTGCGAGCCCAGCTTCAGCGCGTTGGTGAGCTGCACGTACACGCATGCACGCACACATACACACATACATACACGCCGCGTGCGTGGAGTACCGCGCCGAGCGCACGCGCCTGCCCGCCGCGCTCACCGAGATGACCGCCTGCCTCTACTGCGAGCCCAGCTTCAGCGCGTTGGTGAGCTGCACGTACACGCATGCACGCACACATACACACATACATACACGCCGCGTGCGTGGAGTACCGCGCCGAGCGCACGCGCCTGCCCGCCGCGCTCACCGAGATGACCGCCTGCCTCTACTGCGAGCCCAGCTTCAGCGCGTTGGTGAGCTGCACGTACACGCATGCACGCACACATACACACATACATACACGCCGCGTGCGTGGAGTACCGCGCCGAGCGCACGCGCCTGCCCGCCGCGCTCACCGAGATGACCGCCTGCCTCTACTGCGAGCCCAGCTTCAGCGCGTTGGTGAGCTGCACGTACACGCATGCACGCACACATACACACATACATACACGCCGCGTGCGTGGAGTACCGCGCCGAGCGCACGCGCCTGCCCGCCGCGCTCACCGAGATGACCGCCTGCCTCTACTGCGAGCCCAGCTTCAGCGCGTTGGTGAGCTGCACGTACACGCATGCACGCACACATACACACATACATACACGCCGCGTGCGTGGAGTACCGCGCCGAGCGCACGCGCCTGCCCGCCGCGCTCACCGAGATGACCGCCTGCCTCTACTGCGAGCCCAGCTTCAGCGCGTTGGTGAGCTGCACGTACACGCATGCACGCACACATACACACATACATACACGCCGCGTGCGTGGAGTACCGCGCCGAGCGCACGCGCCTGCCCGCCGCGCTCACCGAGATGACCGCCTGCCTCTACTGCGAGCCCAGCTTCAGCGCGTTGGTGAGCTGCACGTACACGCATGCACGCACACATACACACATACATACACGCCGCGTGCGTGGAGTACCGCGCCGAGCGCACGCGCCTGCCCGCCGCGCTCACCGAGATGACCGCCTGCCTCTACTGCGAGCCCAGCTTCAGCGCGTTGGTGAGCTGCACGTACACGCATGCACGCACACATACACACATACATACACGCCGCGTGCGTGGAGTACCGCGCCGAGCGCACGCGCCTGCCCGCCGCGCTCACCGAGATGACCGCCTGCCTCTACTGCGAGCCCAGCTTCAGCGCGTTGGTGAGCTGCACGTACACGCATGCACGCACACATACACACATACATACACGCCGCGTGCGTGGAGTACCGCGCCGAGCGCACGCGCCTGCCCGCCGCGCTCACCGAGATGACCGCCTGCCTCTACTGCGAGCCCAGCTTCAGCGCGTTGGTGAGCTGCACGTACACGCATGCACGCACACATACACACATACATACACGCCGCGTGCGTGGAGTACCGCGCCGAGCGCACGCGCCTGCCCGCCGCGCTCACCGAGATGACCGCCTGCCTCTACTGCGAGCCCAGCTTCAGCGCGTTGGTGAGCTGCACGTACACGCATGCACGCACACATACACACATACATACACGCCGCGTGCGTGGAGTACCGCGCCGAGCGCACGCGCCTGCCCGCCGCGCTCACCGAGATGACCGCCTGCCTCTACTGCGAGCCCAGCTTCAGCGCGTTGGTGAGCTGCACGTACACGCATGCACGCACACATACACACATACATACACGCCGCGTGCGTGGAGTACCGCGCCGAGCGCACGCGCCTGCCCGCCGCGCTCACCGAGATGACCGCCTGCCTCTACTGCGAGCCCAGCTTCAGCGCGTTGGTGAGCTGCACGTACACGCATGCACGCACACATAAACACATACATACACGCCGCGTGCGTGGAGTACCGCGCCGAGCGCACGCGCCTGCCCGCCGCGCTCACCGAGATGACCGCCTGCCTCTACTGCGAGCCCAGCTTCAGCGCGTTGGTGAGCTGCACGTACACGCATGCACGCACACATACACACATACATACACGCCGCGTGCGTGGAGTACCGCGCCGAGCGCACGCGCCTGCCCGCCGCGCTCACCGAGATGACCGCCTGCCTCTACTGCGAGCCCAGCTTCAGCGCGTTGGTGAGCTGCACGTACACGCATGCACGCACACATACACACATACATACACGCCGCGTGCGTGGAGTACCGCGCCGAGCGCACGCGCCTGCCCGCCGCGCTCACCGAGATGACCGCCTGCCTCTACTGCGAGCCCAGCTTCAGCGCGTTGGTGAGCTGCACGTACACGCATGCACGCACACATACACACATACATACACGCCGCGTGCGTGGAGTACCGCGCCGAGCGCACGCGCCTGCCCGCCGCGCTCACCGAGATGACCGCCTGCCTCTACTGCGAGCCCAGCTTCAGCGCGTTGGTGAGCTGCACGTACACGCATGCACGCACACATACACACATACATACACGCCGCGTGCGTGGAGTACCGCGCCGAGCGCACGCGCCTGCCCGCCGCGCTCACCGAGATGACCGCCTGCCTCTACTGCGAGCCCAGCTTCAGCGCGTTGGTGAGCTGCACGTACACGCATGCACGCACACATACACACATACATACACGCCGCGTGCGTGGAGTACCGCGCCGAGCGCACGCGCCTGCCCGCCGCGCTCACCGAGATGACCGCCTGCCTCTACTGCGAGCCCAGCTTCAGCGCGTTGGTGAGCTGCACGTACACGCATGCACGCACACATAAACACATACATACACGCCGCGTGCGTGGAGTACCGCGCCGAGCGCACGCGCCTGCCCGCCGCGCTCACCGAGATGACCGCCTGCCTCTACTGCGAGCCCAGCTTCAGCGCGTTGGTGAGCTGCACGTACACGCATGCCCGCACACATACACACATACATACACGCCGCGTGCGTGCATTTACACACATGCATACGTACATTTGTGCATAAAACTCGTACGCGCAATCACGCACTCGCATGTGTAAATCCACGTACACACACTTGCGCTTAGTGATTTATGCATGCGTATAGTGTTAAATACAGGTATGCGTGTAAACATAAACATAAAGAATATTAATAATGCTATCAACATTACTAGTACCCCTATTAACTTCTCCAAGTTAGCTTAAAATGGAGTTGTACGACGTTGTTACGACTTCCTAAAATTGCAGTCCGCACCTTTAATCATTAGGCTGTCGCTTCGTATATACATAAAAATACGTAAAATTATAAGTACTTCGATTTTGGCGAAACTAAATAGAAAAGGCATATAATATATTATTACATAGTAGGCTTCACAAAATCAGAGTGCGGCAATGTTATTTTGTCATAATTTTTAATATTAACTTATGTTTTTAAAAACGTATTATCTGAGTATATTAGTAATTGAATTTTAATTTAAACACGCTCAAGTTGTTCATGATTTGATTGGTGCGAGTGTTGATGATATTAAAGAAAAGAGCCTACTCTTTTTTTTTATTGCTGGCAACGCATATGCGACTTTTCTGATGTTGGCATTTGTTCATGGGCGGCGCAGTCCCTTACCGTCAGGTGAGCTACAGGCTCGTTTGCCCTCTTTTTTTATAAAAAAAAGGTGTGCAGTTCACACGCGGTAAAAGTGAAACCTTCAAATGAAATTAAATCTTAAATAAAAATATTTCACGGCAAATGATTTATTTAATAATGATAATTTTCAACCACAAGTGCGGCACAAAATATAACATAAAACTTTAATTTTATAGGTACTTAATAAATGTTACCATCCTTATTTTTAGACATGTAGAGGTTAAATTTTAGTTGTAATAAATCAAAAAAATATTTTTTTGAGTAAAATTGCTTTGTAATAATGTCATCCACTCATTCTATACGTAAAATCATATTATTGAACAATAATTGATTGACTCTCAAGTTGGTACGTAAAATAGACGCTAGATGGCTTAAAGACGATTAATTCAATATAATATTTTATCGCATTCTCTTGTAGATCTAAATCCTTTAGATGTACACTGCAGGCCAAAAGTTTAAGACCACCTTAATTAAAGTAGGAAAATTATATAAAACTCCAATTAAATATTAAATGTTTAATTAAACTGTTAAACCATCCAATAAAACACTTTTTGACATTCAATGTACTTGAAAAGCGTAAAGAAATATTAACAGTCCATACTAAAAAATCTATAGTTAGCTAAACTGATTTTTCATCAAAAATCCTCCTTTGCATTCTATGACATTTTTCACAAGTCTCCGGTATAGGGGCAATCAATCTGTTGATAGTGTGTTGTGATATATTGCTCCAACTTTCGCACAAAGCATTCCACATTTCTTCTCGCGAGGATGGACCACAATTACGGACGTTCCTATCATGCTCTTCCCATAAAAGTTCAATGGGATTGAGATCTGGGCTCTGAGGAGGCCAAACCATATTTTTAACACCCCTTGTGCCTCTTTCTCATCCAAATATCCTCTGCATAATTTTGAGCTATGCTTACGATCATTGTCCTATTGGAAAATGAACCCATCTCCAATTAATCGTAACCCCGAAGGAACGGCATTTTGTTCTAAAATTTTTTTGTATTCTTCCTTTTTCATAATTCTGTCAATTTTGATCAAATCGCCAGTTCCTTGGCTAGAAAAGCAATCCCAGAGCATAATTGAGCCACCATCATGCTTGATTGTTTGGACTACACAGTCTGGCATCATCTTTTCTTGGTCACTGCGTCTAACGTAAATTCTTCGTTTTGAACCATAGCTCAAACTTGGATTCATCGGTCCAAAGAACTTTTTTAAAATCTTCTTCAGTTCAATCTCGATGGGCAAGGGCCCATTGCATCCGTTTTTTCTTGTTTTGTGGCTTTAGCAGAGGTTTTCGAACGGCGACACGACCATACAATTTTGCATCTCTCAGTCGTTGTTTTACTGTAGTCAATGATAAAGGTTTAACTCGGGTTTTATTTACTTCAACGTGGATTTCCGGAGCTGTTAAGCGTCTATTTCGCTTGCTGGTAACAACAATGAAATGATCTTCACTTGATGTGGTAGCCTCTCGACCTTCCCGAGCGTGGGCGATCTTGAAAAGTGCCTGTCTCCTTGTATCGAGCTATTGTGCCATGAACACACGTCTTCGATAACTTCAATTGTAAAGAAATCTCACGTTCGGATTTGCCTTCATTATGTAACACAACGATGGCAGAACGCACTTCACTGCTAATTCCGAGTGCTTTTCCCATTTTAAGACGTCTTCACTATAGAAACCACAAGTTTAGACTAATTAAGATTGTTTATGAACAAAACCATGTAAACTCAGGTAAAGTCGGTAACACGTCTTTTTAGAAGCTAAATAATCTTAATTATTGACCAATGGGAAACAAAAGCAAAGCAATTAGTTATTAGCCCATCATTAAAAATATTATTACGATTCTGCCACCTGGCTCTAACGCAGCGTTTGTCGATGTTTGAAAACAATACATGTTTATTGTCCAATAACTTGAAAGTAAATAAAAGAATGACTTCTTTAGATATTCGATATTAACAATAGAATATGTAGGTGTACATTTCTTTTATTTATCTTATGGGATTTCGTTACAATTTATAGATAGTTATGTTGTTTAAGTGTGGTTTTAAACTTTTGGCCGGCAGTGTATATGTTGGTCTGTTTTTAGTGTAGCTTTTTGTTTTACCGCGTTTAAAATGAACGATTGTAAAGACGTCATTGACCGGCAGTAAGTAGTAGCAGATAGCAGGTTGAGTGTTACTGAAGCACTTGTCGCGGTAGTAAGTAGTAGCAGATAGCAGGTTGAGTGTTAGTGAGGCACGTGTGCCGTGTGCCGGCAGGTGGAGAAGCACCGCGCGGTGGCGTCGCGCGCCGCGGCGCCGCGCGGGCGGGGCGGGCGCGCGCGCGCCGCCAAGCACCGCAACAAGCAGCCCAAGGACAAGATGGCGCAGCTCGCCGCCTACTTCGTCTAACTGCCACTGGCCTTGTCTACACTTTACATAATATAATTGTTGGACGTGTGTCCATGTGCGAAATAACTATTGTTGCATTCATATTTTAATACAAGAAATAAATAATTATTTCGTACACTTCGCCGATTTTGGCGGTTAGACTCGTACTCTTTGTTTCTATGATAAATTCCCCATTGATTGTCGGTTCTTTAAGCTATGTGACCGACATATTGCACTTCTCTTGCATTTTTGTGTTCATTTAAATAGAGTATTTGCACTTGACACCTCTTGATGTAAACAGTAAATTAACTTCAATATGTCGACTTTGTTTTTCACAATGTCGCGCTTGCTATTGTCCGTTGATGATATTGTCTATAATATCATCAGTGTTTAACTTCTTCTTCTTTAATAAATAAATATTTATTGAAAAAAAAAATTATAACTTGCATAATAGTCATTAAAACATTTTTTTCGACTGGCATGTTTTGTAACAGTAGGTTCATTCTAGGGTGTAATTATAAAAAAATGGACGGATCAGTACAAAATAAATAAGCTGAAGTGACAAACTATGGGCCGGACATATAGCTCGAAGAACCAACAACCAGTGGGGTAGAATAATTCTTCAGTGTCAACTTTGTACTGACAGAGGATAGAGGTGTCTTAAGACCATGGTTTGCAGCAGTCTCCAAGAGTAGTAGGTGTAGCAGACTCTTGAGCATGTATAATAAAATAATCGTGTAATAAAGTAACCGAACAGTATGCAGTAAATTTTATCTAAATGTAAAAAAACCGTACATGCAGTTATGTTTTACGAAACAGTTCGCGAATCTCTTATGTAACGTTCTACTACAAGTATACGGTTAACACAAAAGTTTGTGTTTATATTATATTTTCATCTGTTTTACTTACTTAATCTGATGTCGGTACATTTTGGCGAATTTTAAGTTGAATTCATAATTCAAAAAATACTTAGCAAAATTGTAAGTACTAAACACCTATTATGAGTTCGTTGATTTTGTGGTCATAACTTTTACAGTTTCGCTATGTATCATTTGTAACAAGCATCTAGTATATTATATTATGTAAGAAGGACTTAGATTTTTTTATTTATTACTGTTTTTTATGTGAAATAAATCAATTTTAACCATATATTTTCTTTAACTGCTTACGACAATATCTACGTTTCCTATATTAATTTATGTTTACATAAAAAAATCGTTATAATTCTTCTCTCATACTCCCTCTCTCCCCTATTACCCTTTCTCCGCCTTGTCCCCCACTTCAACGTATTTCTGAACATGAGCCTCTACCACAGGTAGATTGGTGATCGCCGTAATAGACGTCTCGCATCTTTGACACTGCTTACTGAGAAAGGTGTCCAGTTCTCGTCACTTTCCCAACTAAGCACAATTATGCAATTATGCTGCTGTTTGACGCTGGTATTCGATGGTCACCACTCTACTCTCGGAAAGAGGTTATGTGAGCGCAGTGTAGTGTACAATCTATAGTCGATTTATTCAGAGACAAACTCGAGTTTAAACTCTAAACTCTACAATATAAAAAAAATTGAGTTTAGGTAATAGTATTTCACATATTTCGACATTTTGAAGCTTGTGCTCGAAAATATATCTGAATATCGACTTAAAACCACTAAAGTTAATGCTTCTTGCTCCAATGACTAGCATAAGTAGGACTACATTACGGACTATTTTATACGTTAGAGCCACGCTGCAACTATACTGTGGTTGTAGCACGAATGGGTCGGCGCTTTGGCGCTTTCAAGTTACAATTACAATTAAGTCGTAATCATTACGCAAACTACTCCAAATCTCTTCTTTAATCCTAACTCCTTCATTATGACAACCTTGCATGCAAGTTTTTTTTTTTATTGAATAAGGGTGACAAACGAGCACACAGTCCACCGGATGGTAAGTGTTTGCTGTGGCCCATAGACTCAATGGCCTCAATTAAGAATCAAAATGAAGATGCGTGAAGACCCCTGAGAACTAAGATGGAATGCCTCGTTTCCAGTAAAATTATGCTGCTATTTTACGCTGGTATTCTGTGAGAGTGTGGTCCTACCCCGGTCGAGCCGACCCATTCGTGAAACCATAATATATACTGCCTTGTTGGTCTAGTGGTTGTAGTAGTGCGACTGCTGATCAAAGGTCCCGGGTTCGAATCCCGGGTCGGACAAAAAAAAACACTTATTTTTTTCATCAAGAAATTTTCAGTAGCTGCTCGGAGTCAGGAAGTTGGTGGTGTCTCACCCCCGTGCCTCGGAAAGTACGTAAATCCTTTGTTCCTGCACCTGATCTCTCTCCGGTCGTGTCGGTTTACCGTCCCATCGGACTTTAAGTGCGAGGGAATAGAGTGCACCTGTGCTTGCGCATACATTTGGGCACTATAATCCTGTCCAGCGCCGATGGCTAGTCTCCGTTGAGACTGGCCGCCGTGACTGAAATTCGGTCTGGAGGACATTATTATTATTATATAGCTGCATCGTGGCTCTACCACGTTTTAGAGTTAGTGTTTCACAGGACAAAATTTGAAGGGTATTCGCAGGAATTGCAAAAATTAATTCCTCCCTCTCCGGTCCATCATCGGACTAGTAGACACTCTGCTGGCCTTCATCCTTTTGTTGTCGACATACCACGCATTCGAACCAAACGGTATGTTTTGTCATTCGTAATGCCTATGGCAAACGAGAGGAGTCATTTTCCAGCATTTGCCTTTCCATCCTCTTATGATGTGGGTATCTTCAAGTCTAAGGTAAATAATAATGGCTTTTGCTAAATTAAGCTATTGTGCTTTGCCGTTTTCGGTCGTACACCACTTACCATCAGGTGGGTTAAGCGCCTGGTGTAAATTTCACAGTATGCGAGTAAGGGTTTCATTTGATCCATGTCAGCACCAATAAAATTGTAATGCTGTGTCATGATAATGTACTTTTATTTTTAATTTTAAGTGAAACAAACCAAATATTGAAGTCTTCATTTTATTGTGAAGGTTGTCACCTAATATAATGCTTAGGTACAGTAAGATATAAGCTTACAATGTATTACTGTATTTGTCGTTAACATTATCTCTTGTTTTGGGAGTGAATTGTTTTACAATGAATCGTAGTAAAAACTGGAGACTTAACAGTTTAAATATTTGACATTAACTGTATGTAACACGAAAGATGATATTTATTTAGTATTTAATTCTTTACAAGTGCAATGAAGTTAGCGTGTCAATACAATATAAAATAAATAACTAAATTGAAAATAATTTATACATTTATGGCATTCATTCAAACATTAAATTAAAAATATATAAACAAATATATGTCTTTGAGCTTACTTTTGAACAAGCTTAGAATACTAGTAGGTCACATTCGTTCGTTTGAGTTGTGAAATAAAATTGTTTACACAGATAAGAAAAATGTAAATGGATGTAAAAATTTAATTGAAAATATTATTACGGGCATGTGCCGAATTTTCTATAATATATCACAGATAAGCCAACGTGAAATGCTCAGCAATATAAAATTTATATAAATATTTATGTATATACACACACAAGATAAGAGGACCAGTCCAGGAACGGAAATATAGGAATAGTGTAGACTGGTGAATTTTACCATATTTCATAGATAGCTCTTAGGTGTTTCGTACCCGGTAAAGAAATTTTATGTAATTATACATTTATATTATATCAGTTGGTAATTTGGTCACTTGGAGAATAATATCTATGACTTTTACTTTCTCTACGTGCAGTTTATATTTGGAATTTAAATCTTTATTTCGTTTTGTCACCCTGTACGAAAAATTTAAAATAAATTTTAATGTACAAAAATAGGAAAATTATATTCACCTACACTTAAACAGCACTGATATGCTTTAAAAACTTCACAACATTCGATCAAATTAAGATTAACACCTTTCGGGCTTAGGTAAAATACATTAGTATTAAATAATAAACTTAATACGTTAGTATTAAATCATTGTACATTAGCGTATGATGAATTATTAAATGAATTATAGCAGAACTATTGCAAAAGCAGTTTAGTGAAGAAAAATCTTTAATTTCAGTTATGGATCCTTGTCGTTCAGATTATCGTTGTTTCACTAAACTGCAAGTGCGAAGTTATTGACTTTTATTGAAGACTTACATAGAATTATAAATTAATATGATAACGGTTGTGCATTTTATATATTTTTTTCCTATTTTCTATGGTTTCAGTAGTATTTAACTAATTGCATATGTTCCTAATGACAACGCAAGAAATACCTACGTGTTCTCTGTACATTTAATATAATCTTTCTTTGCATTGAGATTCATTTTTTACATATTAAATGTACAGTTTATGTCCTTTCTATATTCTAATATATTAATTTAATCTCACTGATTTTTTTGATAACATAATTAAAGTCTAATAGCTTTATTATACCTACAGCGAATATTTACAATGATAACGAATACTTTCTGTCCAACATTAATATATGTAAATATATAATTATTTACCGCTTAAGCAATTGTCTATTATTGTTCAACGTGGAACTGTCTTGGGTGTTGGATGTAAGACAATTACTGGATCTAATCTAGAATTGTACTGAATTTCGCCATCTTATATATTTTTATGGTAGATTTCACTAAAGTATGTTTTTTTGTTGTAACAAGTTAATTTATTTTTTAATGTTAAGAATGACTATGTATTAATTGTAGGCATTAGAGAAGATATTTCAGTTAGTTACTACAGGCATCTCATATGTTGTTCCGTGAATGACTATAAAGTCATAAATAAGTGCTAGATATAAATTTTTCAGAAAATAATTTTAGAAATCAGCTCTGAACAAATACTGTGTTATGTTAATGTGAAACGCAATTATCTTCTGTACACCAAATATTATCGGAATCACTCACATTAACATTTATTTTACCTTTTTTTTTAATTAGAAATTAACAGGTAACTTAAACTTTTCCTTCCTTTACCATTCTCGTAAAGAATTTTAAAAACTAGTTTGATTTCATATTTTTAGGTTTTGAAAATACATGTAAGTATCACTGCTTGGTAATTTAGTTCGGGAGCATTGAATAAAAAGAAAAGTACCTATACCTACTACATACATTATGTAGTACATCGAGGTCAAGTTAATTTTAATGCATGTATTTGTACTATTTGAATATAATTATAAATGAGCAAGGGGAACTTTAGCAATGCAAGTATGCAACTACGATGACTAAATCTTCTAACCTCACTAAATGGTCCAAATTTAGTATGAATTTAGCGGAAATGGTTGGTGAAATAACATACCGTGGACCCACATCGTATTTATAGATATATTTTTTTAAAAGAGGCCAGCTCATTTTACACTGTAATACTGAACATATACGGGTACACTAATGTTTGATCTGAAATAATCTTATACGAGATTTCAAAACCGAAAAAATTTTTATAGCTTTTAAATTTAAATTAACAGATATTTTTTTTATCTAGAAGAATTTAATGATGTCACTTCTATACACTTGTTATTGTCATAGAATAATTTTAATATTTTTATACAGATTACATATAGATAGAATTTCGGTTTTGAAACGGTATAAGTCGGTCACAAAATGCTACAATTACGTAGAATCAATAAAACTGTAAATATATACGTGAATGATAGATAGTATAGTAAATAAGCTATGAATAGCTTATAATATTTTGAGCCACTGAATTATACAATACATTATATTAAATTTTTTACTATTTAAAGCTCTTAGTTTTCATTTGATGCGAGTTCTATTATCGCATTGAATACTAAATGCCCTTTGTCAAAAGATAGTCTAATATTGGACTACATTTTGAAGGGCGAATAACATTATGATTATAGAAGTAACAACTATTAAATCATTATAGCGTGACTTACATACATAATAGAAACAAAAGCTTTGCTTTTGGCAATTTACATAGAGGTAAACCTTTAAATATATACCATTTTGTATATATTCTCGATTTAAAAGTTAATAGTTCGTAAACATTGGAATAGTTCTTCCGGAAGGTCACTTGGATGCACAATTTTCAGGATTCATGTATCAATACATCAATCTATGTTACAATACGCTAGTTGCAAATACAAGCACACAAATGTCGTCCGGTATTAAACATATTAGATAGTCCACACTTGAACTTTTTCCGCTACCACACACCAGCTTGCTTGGTCATAGTAAGATGAAACTACGTGGAGACTTTCCACATATTTTTCAATCAACTGATCCAGTTCACCTCGTTTGAAAACGTGGTAATATCGATGGTAGGTTACTGCACCGCCTTCGGAAGGGAGGCTGTCTGATCCATCACTTAATGATGGAAGAAGTGGAGCATGTGAAACAGCTCTAGAAGGAACAGCAGGATTAGTGGCTGTATCGTCAGACGATGATCTGTTTTCTATTAATTTTCTTTCTTTAGAGCACTCGCTACATGATGGCAATGAAGCTAAACTAGCGCAGCCTAAAGAAGCTGTGCTACCCGTTTTGTCTCTTCGACTCCAATCGCTTCCTGCTGAAGTATCACTTGATTCTATAGAAAAGCCTGACTTTAATGGTGCTGTGCTGGCGCTTGACCGCGAGGTGATAGATTCAGGACTTATTTCCATTTTCTCTAAATCACTTGAGTCAGTCGACTGTCCAACTTTCAAAGAAGATCTTTTGTCAGTGCTAGTGCATAGTGAATCTACGCTTATTTCCGACTCTAAAGAATAGCCAGTTTCGAGAGACTGACTGGTATCATAAGTTCCTGATTCTATAGTGATTTCAGGGTTGCCATTGCTAGATGAAATTGCGCTATCTTCGTCTGGATTCTTTGTATCACCATCTGGCAATTTCTCGTCTATACCTGTTTTAGTTATGTTGTATTGAATAAATTGAATATTGGCACAGTTGTTTAAAAATACATCTTCATCGCTTGTCACTTTCATCGACTTTTTTAGTTCTCTGTACTTGTTTATAATGGGGTCGACATCTTTCGATCTCTTCTTGCTTTTAGTTTTGGATCCACATTTTGGAAATAGTTTGTTGATATCAGACTCTTGTGTATCACAAAGTGATGATATATATCGAGTTTTTTCGTTTGTACTAATTTTGTCTAAACTGTGTATTTCGGTACCTTGTTTATTTACATGGGGTTCTTCCAGGTATTGTAAACTGTCTGATAGTTCATCTAATATTTTTTGCGTATGTCTGTCCTCTTCCTCTCGCTTAAGTCTGAGGGAAATACTTTTCTCACTACTACTACTGCTTGGTAAATCAAAGTCTTCTTCGTTGATACGTTTCGAATATTCATCAATTTCTTGTAATAACTTCTCGCTTAATTTTTCTGCGAACTCTGTTAAATGTTGATTACGGTCATGTTGGTCAACCACCCAATCTTCATCTTTAGTTAACATATCGGATTTACACGTTACTAAAGGCTCGTTCGCTTGAATTCTGTTAAAACTTTCGGACTTCGAAATTGATTTTTCTGAATCTGTACTTGATATAGAAATTGAATCATACGGTAGCCTTGTTGGACTTCTGTGATTCTTTTCTTCGAGTGGGCGCCCATCAAGGCGGTTTGGAGATAATCTGTTCAAGCTCCAAGTAGAATTATTTGTACTGCCTTGTTTTGGTGACCGGTCTTTTGATCTGCGACCTGGAGAAAGCCGTTCTAAGCTCGAAGAACTTCCACTGGAGCTGGTGTGGGATTGAGACCTAGATCTATCTTCTAGTATTCTTAAATCTCCCGGCGATAATTTATTAAGGCTCCAGTTACTACTGCTGCTGCTGCTTGAAGCTCCTTGTACAATAGCTAATGCTTCTGCATTTTCCAGTTTATCCAATTCCTTCCTCTTTGTCCGTGGACTGGACTGTATAACAGCTTCACAGGTTTCATCTAAAGAATGAGCAACTTCTGCTGCTGCTTCAATCAGACTTTGTGCAGGTGATGATGAATTGGACTTGTCCGATGTATTGCCAGGCATCTCTTCTTTCTTTTCCTCTGTTATATCAGGATTTGGTAGATCTGTAAAATATACACAAAGTATATATAGTATTTCTTACACATAGTTTCATCTTTACCCTAAGGGCAGATGGAGTACGAGCCCTGGGCCCTTGTCCTGACAGGGACTGCGGAATAGTCAAAATTAAAACTTTTATTGAAATTAAAGCTCTAATGAACGTCAAAATCTACACCGGCTCAGAAAACAAAACATTCTTAGTGAAGAACCGACGGGAAACTAAGGACTTTTATTAAATGCGAAACACTATCGTTTAGAAAAAGTATTATATTACAATATTTCTTTTTTATAGATTGATATCAATATATTGTAGTAGACCTCTTAAACATTTCTTTTAACAAGTATTTTTTATGTCAGATTGTTGTGCATTATTCTTAGACATTTTATGCAAAAATATTTTCTAGTTTCAGCCAAACTAAGCTTAGGAAACCTTCGCGTATCACGTTTACCTACTTCGTTAGTCATCTCTCTAATACCTTAAATAGCAAAAATTGCATAACTAATTTCGAAGCTAGTTTATCAATATGTAATTTTTGTAGGCGATTAACTATATCGGGGCTCATTGGACAAAGAACCAGACCAAAATGTTGTGGATCCCAAGTGCAAATTTAAAACAACAGTTAAAAGTTTTTACCTTGGTCGAAATTTGACACTAGAACATAACTATTTATTGACTAATGTTGATGGTAAAAAATCTTATAAGTACCTTTTTCCATAGCAGTTTTCCTTAATTCGTCTGGAATTACGCTGATAACACTATCTACTGAATCTGGTGAAGACACACCGCTAGAGTCGCTATCCATGTCGTCGGTAGCTGGATTAAATAGCTCTAGAGACATAAGTTTTGGATGAGTCTTAGCTATAGGTTCAGGTTTGTTCGTTCTTACTATTGGGAAAGGTGGCCGTCGGGATACATTAAGAGGAGGAATCCCTTTATTTAGCATTTCCTTTATTTGCCTTATTCTTTCTTTTCTTTTTTTGTCAGCAAGTCTAGAATCAAGTGTATCGCCCGTTGGGGATTTGTTTGTTTCCTTAGGTTTAAATTGCGGTATTTCTGGTAATTCTGCCACAGTTTGTAGAGTTATTTTTGGATAAGGCTTGATATCTTGTAAGACCACGCGGGGCTTTAAATCGTCTGTTTCAGCTGTTAGTTTATGTATTTCTTCAATATCTTTATTAATTTCAGCAAGAAGTTCTTTTGTTATATCAGAGGGTGTTTCTTCCTCTTCCTTGATCGGAGGTATAGGATCAGGTTCTTCGAATACTTCTATAGATATATTTCGATCAATTATTGAAACTTGTTCTGGCTTTACAATATTCTCTACCGATTCTGATTTCGGTGGTGAATTTGGTTGGCTTTTGGATTGTGGTGTTAAAGGAGGAGTACTTGGGGGATTCGTTGTTGAATAGTTCTTTAAACTGTATTGTGCTACTAAAACTTTATTTCCTGTTGCAGGACTTTGTGTTGCGTTTGGTGATGCCGGTGGTCGGATTAAAGGAAATGCTTGTTTAATTCTAGGAGATGGTAGGCCAGGCGAACTTTTCATTCTAGGAGATGTTGGTACAGATGAAACTTTTAATCGTGGGGATGTAGGCCCTGGAGAAAGCGGGGTAGGCGATAAAGGATCACCTGAACCGTCGGCTTTTGGTACATATATAACCGATGCAAAACTATCTTCTGAATCCACACTAGTGTCACTTTGAAGGCTACTGTCTTTTGAAGAATCTGATCCGTCTTCTTTTGAATGACGCCGTTCGGGATAATTTTTTTCGCTACTTCCGTTATTGTCGCTTGGTGTAGGAACTTCTGCTACCGGCCCATGAGTTTTCCACCCTTGAAGCATTCTCACGAAGACTGTTACTTTATCAATATTCGTTGTCGACGTTTTGAATTTACTAGTGAGGCCGTTTTTTAACGACTGGAACTTTTTGGCTGTTGTCGCTGATGTGGAGAATATTGAATCACGGATGGAGTCTAAAGCTCCTGGTCTGCGATATAAATATTCCTCGTTTAATGATGCTTGTTTTTGTATATTCTTTCTCAATCGCTCTTTTTCTCTTAACCGTTCGGCTGACATTAGTTCCTCGTTCAGAGATGATTGCTTTATAACTCCAGGTTTCTTTGATTGTAGGCGATGTGTATGAATTTTAAAATTAGGCATTTCTTCAACTAAACTCTTCATGTCCGTTGGCTTGTCCAAATCTTCGTCCGCGTCATCTTCGTTAATTGATTTCTTTTGCTTTACAAGTTTTGGTTTCTTTCGTGTTTCAGTGACTTCTGGAGCTAGTGTTTCTTGTGGAGCTGGTTCACATTCCTCGCCACCAAGACTAGGTAGACTTGAACGTGATCGAACAAGGGCTCTACGTTCAATGTCAGCTATATCGGTTAGGCTTCTTGACTTTACGGTAGACGCGTCCGAGTTTTGTGAGACAAGTCTAGATGGTAAAGCTTCATCAAGACGTCTGAGTTCAATAGGTAGGTCAGCTGCCGGGGGTTCCGGTCTTAAACAAGGTCGAGGAGTCACTCGTGTGCTAAGACCCCATGAAGGTAAAAATGAACGCCGACCAGCGAAACGCTGTAAAGCTCGTCTTACGAATGAATAACAAGTTTCATTAGGCGACGATAGGGAAGATGACCCTGGAGATCCATCGCGGCTTTTCCATGTTTCGTTTCTGCAATAAATATTTAAATAAATTGGTTTGATTTATTTATGATAATACTACACATAGAATAAAACTGATTTTACGGATTTTATTGCATATAATTAATTGTACTTATTTTAATTTCAGTTAAATAAGTTAAATGGGTTGTCTAATATTACAATCTGACATAACAATAATGTAATTACAATTTCAAACAGAATTACGAAATGCATTTGATTTACCGTTCTTGGTCGACGGATAGAAATCGAGGCGTTGGCGTCGGCGGACATAATGTCGCAGGACGATGCCACGGTATAAGGACATCCTGTAACAAATAATTTTTACTTACATTGGGGAATATTAAGTTTAGTAGCGCCATATAATGCTAATAATTGAAACAGTTATACAGGCGGATCCCATGTATAGATGCCCCGGCCTTATGACGCGATATTTAATGCTACTGATTTTCGGAGGCCACAAGATATTTTTAAGATTTTCTATTGTCAACTGATATGAGAGATATTGGAAGAGATAGGGTAATGGACTCTTATGCCGTCAGCACAAGGGATTTATTATTAATATAGTGTAAGTACCCCCTTAAAAAAGATCACAAAGCACGTTCCTAAACCACTTGCATCCATCGAGTTCTTTCACCTCTTACCAGGTCGTCACTCCAACTAGTGCGGGGCCGCCCTACACTTTGCTTAACTAGGATGTCACTCGAGCACGTTTCTTCTAGACATAGGTAACTCAGCGGAATTCCTTGCGTTAATTCAGTAACTCAGGAGCAGTTCACTGCGCCGGTAGCGCCATGGCCCAACCAAGTTTAAACACATCTATCAATCTGTACAAATAAAACCGTGTGGCCAGTAAGTGAAATAAAATGTAGAAAAGTAAGAATTCGTACTTATTAGGTACTATGTATTACTCCTTTTTCATTTCACGGAGTTGCAGTTTATAAAAATAATATAGTATAACAAGATCTTATCAGCTATCGTATACACATAAGCGCACTGAACTGAGTTGGCACAATTGCGCTGCGTAGCGCAGTGCTACCCATGTCTATTTTCTTTACCACATGGGATTAGATCCTATTTATATGTAAAAGTAAATTGAACGTACCTGCGAGTGAAAATTTCTGCCCTCATGCTCCATCGCCCACACAGTAAGCAAGAGACGGCCGCCGATTCTAGTGACACGAGCGAGTTCGCGCAGTGCCATCGCGCGGCGCTCCACCGTCGCGAAGTGGTGCACCACCGCGATCGACAGCACCGCGTCGAACGACTCATCGCGGAATGGCAGGCAAAGGTTGTCACATACAACCACCTGTCCCAAAAGAAACGACTTTAACATCTGGTTTTAGATTTGCGTCATAGAAATGCTAAAGGCTCATGCTATCATATTATATTAACAGTGGTATATTGACACGTGGTGGAGCCACGCTGCGGCTATAATATAGTTGTAGCACGAATGGGGCGGCTCAACCGGGAAAGTGTTCACAAAATACAAACGTAAAATAGAATTTTAATACTGCCGAATTTCGTATGGTGAGTGAGAATTGGAGACCCTTTTTCCTGAAAATGAGGCTCCATCGTAATCCGCAAGGATGACAACGCAAGATGAAGATATTTATTGGCAACATCATCCGTTTACCGTGTATTTTCATCTGTCACACTTATTCTGTTAAAATATAATACCTTGGTATTGATACTGGACTTGAGGAGTCAATTCGTGTGCTTTTGCCCCTTATCTCTTACTTAAGATCTTCAAACTTACATTTATCATTAATAATTTGTAAAATAAATCCTTATTAAAAATTTTCAATAAGTTATATTTATGTAGAAGAAAATATTTTATATTATAGAATAAGGGTGACAAGCGAGCACACAGCCCACCTGTTGGTAAGTGGATGCTGTGGCATCCTCGACTAAGAATAAAAATGCAGATGCGTTGTCCCCCCTGAGGACTACGAAATAGAATGCCTCGTATCCAATAAAAAGGGTCTCCGACTCTGTACACTCACCACACTAAACAGCAGCATTGAGCTGCTATTTTACGCTGGTATTCTGTGATAGCGTGGTCCTTCGCCGATAGAGTCGACTTATTCGTGTTACAATTATAATATAGCTGCAGTAAGGCTCTGCCACTTATAATAAGTAGCGTAGTATTTAAGAAAAGTATAGATGAAATAAATTCTTACCTCGTTAGCCTGCTGTCTCGCTTGCGCAGCCAATCGAGTGCACCGGTCGCCGCCCACGGTGAATACGGACGGATTCAGACCGAGATATTTTCCGTTGCCGCAACCTAATGAAAATTATACTATTTAAGTATATATTATAAGAAAATTGGGTCCGTTAAAGTCTACTGAAGTCCACTGCTGAACATAGACCTTCCCCGTAGATTACCTCATAGGGGGATATTTGCCATAGTTGCCACGCTTGACCAGCGGGTTGGCAACCGCAGTTTTATTTTTAGTCGTTATTAGAAAGACGCTGCAGCACATCTCCTGATTTGCTTCCCTCTGTCTCTTGCCTCTTACGACACCCACGGGATGATATGGGGTAGTGAATATTTTTGGGGTGCCACTACTCGGCAAAAGTTTTTTTTGCATTGCAACGTTTCGTTTGCAGATATCGGATCGGACAACCACATACTTAAATAGGCAGGGACGAGGAAGAAATTAAGTATATAAGAGAACACTGACATTTTTGCTAATTAATTTTTTTAATCATCGTTTGTGATTGGTTGCTGTTGGAAGGTAAATTTGCCACAATTTCTACACCGCGCTCTTTTGTCGCTGTCCGTTTTCGGTCTGCAATGTTTCGGAAGCCATAAGACCTTATGACATTTTCCTTAGTAGCCTCTTAGCCCATGAAAAGAAAGTTAGACTATAATTACGAGTATATGCTTTTTGACGGTAACAATAACTTTAGCGAAGTGTGACGTGAGTGACGAAAACAGTATCGCGATAAACAATTAAGTTTAGCGGCATATATTTGTAAATGTACTGTACACTATTTAATAATAAAAAATAAATAAATGAGTTAATGGATTCTCTCACACCGCCACCAAATGGCTAAGGGAATGGCAAATTTAAAAATAGAATAAAATCTGGTTTTAAATTTTTTAATTTAAGTTATTTATGTTCTACTGATATTATAATTAAATTTATTTTCGTTTTGATCTTTCTAATCACGTTTATACGGCTGGACGGCTGAACTTTTTAAAAAAATACTTTTAAAAAGTATGAAATTAAAAATAATTCTGGTAACATTATTGAGTACTACAGCTACAAATTTATTAATAACCAATTGATTTTCTCTGGGAATAACCGTGAATGTGTGGCCTTGCCATCGCGTATATAAAATATTTCTAGCTGTAACTGTTTTATTTTTTGAATACTTAATAATTAAAAATTAAAAATTTTGTACAGCCGACTTCAATATAAGTCATTAAGAATAACTCAAAAACTATTGGTCTGACCTTGATCAAATTCATATGGGACCACATGAGAAGTACCAGCTTTCAAATAAAAAAATAAAAAAAGAATCATCGAAATCGGTTCATCCAGTAAAAAGTTATGAGATAACACACATAAAAAAAGATACAGTCGAATTGACTACCGTCTCCTTTTTGGAAGTTGGCAGAAAATAAGCAGAGTATTCAAATGAAATTTGGCCTAGAAGTTGGCACAGTCGTGGAATAAGTATAGCAACGAATCCAGTGTCTGGACCTCGGAAGCAATAATTATTACTGAGATTTTTCACTTATCGAGGGAGAAACCCTCTTCATCAGCTCAGTTCATTTTTGAATGTAAGAATTTCTATACCTGAATATTTACTATGTGATTTAGTCATGGAACTAAAAATATGCATTTTAAAAATAAAAATAAAAAAGCTTAAGTAGAAAGGTCGCTTAATTGACGTGGGTGTCTAGCCATATTATGACATTTATTATATACCTTGTAATTAATGTAAGATAAATTGCGTTCAGTGGATATTAAAATAACAATCTTCCGTTCCCACACAAAGTAGTTGTGCGTGGGCGAAACTGAGCGAACTATGTAAATACTGTAGGTACCGCTATGCTGGTCTGTTACTATCTATCAAAGAAACGACTTAGGTAGGTATCACGTTCCACGAAGTTTGAAATACAGATGGGCTTTAAAGTAAATTTCTACATTTACATATATATTCAGGTATAGATTTACGTTGTTAAAAGAGTTAGTGTGAAGAAGTAATTATAAATTTTAACATACCTAATACATAGGCTGCACTAAAAGTATCGGGAATGGAATATTTCCACTGTTCTTGTCATATTACAAACTTTTTAATTTTTTTTTTATAGGAGAGGGGGCAAACGAGCATGCGGCTCACCTGATGGTAAGTGACTAATTGAAAAGTCCTTGGTTTTAAAAATCGAATACCATTTATTTATTTAAAAAACGATTCTCTGTCTTGTCACAAGGTTTTGTCAAACTTGTTTAGTCGTTGAGAAAATGGAATTGACTCGAGAAAATTCAAGAGCGATGATTTATTATGATTTTCGAAGTGGTTTAATACAAAAACAGTGTGTTGACCGGATGATTTCTGCATTTGGTGATGAAGACCCATCCAAAACCACAATTTGTCGCTGGTTTGCTGAATTTCAACGTGGACGTGTCAAGCTCAGTGATGATCCCCGTCAAGGTCGTCCAAAAACTGCAGTCACCCAAGAAAACGTTGATGCTGTGCGTAAGCTGATTGAGGAAGATCGACATGTGACATGCCGTGAAATTCAGACAACTTTAGACATTGGCATGAGTCAAATACAAATAATCTTGCATGAACAATTAGGTGTAAAAAAGTTGTTTTCCCGATGGATACCGATTCGCTCTGTGAAGAGCAAAAAGCGGCTCGCGTTACTTGGTGCGTCAGAACTCTCGAAAGATTCCACGCAGGATTCCTCAAATGCTGTATACAACATCGTATCAGGTGACGAATCCTGAACATACCGGAAAACTCCAAAACCGGCCATGTTACGACTATTCCTCTTGAGGGACAAAGAACGGTTAATGCAGAATGGTATGCTAGCATTTGTTTGCCACAGGTCGTTTCTGAACTCCGTAAAGAGAACTGCAACCGCCGCATCATCCTCCATCACGACAATGCGAGTTCTCACATCGCACAGAGAACAAAAGAGTTTTTAGAGCAAGAAAACATAGAATTATTAGACCATCCGCCGTACAGCCCCGACCTAAGCCCTAATGATTTCTATACTTTCCCTAAAATAAAGAATAAATTGCGTGGACAGAGATTTTCATCACCTGAAGAAGCTGTGGACGCCTACAAAACGGCCATTTTGGAGACCCCAACTTCCGAATGGAATGGTTGCTTCAATGATTGGTTCCATCGTATGGAAAAATGTGTCAAATTTCGCGGAGAATACCTCGAAACCCGAAACCATTTTTAAATAGTAATGTTGTGTCACTTCCTTGATTCCCGAAATTTTCAGTGCCGTATATACAGTTTTGCTAAAGAAATGACAGACTCATACGAGAGTGACACTCAAAGTTCTTACTTCTTAGAAAATCAAAACCTGAACAAACTAGCAAGTTATTAGTTTTATTATATCTTTTCAAAATAGTGTCCATTTACATCAATACATCGCTGCATCCGATGGAACATCTGAGAAAAGCACTTTACCCATTCGTCCTTAGGGGTCTCTTCGACGGCATTTTGAAACGCAGCCACTGCTTCCTCGGCGTCCATAAAACGTTTTCCTCGAAGTTTTTCTTTTATTTTCGGAAATAAATAAAAATCGCAAGGTGCGAGGTTGGAGCTATAGTGACCCAGTAATTCCACGTCTGACGTCGCCAAGTAGTTGTTCGCTTGGCGGTGTGCGACGAGGCGTTGTCGTGGTGAAGGAAAATCCTACTGCGAGGTCGTTTCTACCCGAATTTTTTCCAAGTTGTCTTGGAAAAAATTCGGGTAGAACACAATGGTACACTAACAATTGTTTGCTACACAAGTAGCAAACAATTGTTAGTGTACCACTCTGCAGTAACTGTTTTCGATCCTCTAAAACATTTGTTGCGTAATGACCTGTCCTTCCGAAGAATGAGGCCACCATATTTTTTCCCACGCTTCGTCCTGTCTTCACTTTAGTTGGCAACTCCGCGGAAGGAAACACCCAGACAGCATTTGAGTCACATCCGTTAAATCTTTGAACCATTTCATGACACCCAATCAACACGACGGAGTTTTTGGGCCTCTGTAAAATTATGAGGTATCCACCGGGCACAAAGCTTCCTGACCGCTAAATGTTCATGGAGGATTTTTCGCACTTGACTCATACCGATGCCTAAGCTTGTCCGAATCTGCTGATAAGTCACTCTTTTGTCTATCTCTGTCATCATACGCCGCACAACACTGATGTTATCTTCAGTCGTCGCCGTAGAAGGCCGTCCCTCACGCAGATCATCGGTGAGATTAGTGCGACCACGTTTAAACTCATTAAACTAGTTGTAAACAGTGGTACGAGATTGGGCTTCACCGTGAAAGGCCAATCGAAGTCTATGATAACTTTTTTGTTGAGTTAAATGACATCGAAAGTAATAAAAAATCATTGTACGAAAATTTTCTCGCGTTAAATTCATGCTGAGATGACACAAACATTTTTCAATTTGCCGCAAAATCGATGATAAATAAATAAAATACATACACAATAATATTGGCAAAGAGTTACATTTTCAAAATTTGAACTTATTTTTTTATTATATCATTTACAAGTGGCCAGTTCTAAAAACTTTCAGTGTCGCCCTCGTATTATACCGGGCTACAGGGCGAAAGGTCGAAAGGGCGACGACCCCCGGCGACGGGTAGCAGCGTTAAATCAAACGTGACGATTAAGGCAAATATCCTCCCTACAAGTGAGGAGGCAATGTTTTGCAATGAGGGCATTCACGTTTTCTGCCACCAGGGTGGCGCTACGTTGCAGTGAGGTAAAATATTTGGCAAATTTCAGAGCGGGGAAGATAATTTCTTAGGAAAATGTCAGGGATTATTTTTTGTATTGTTAGCTATAAATATATATAGTACTAGATGACCAGGCAGACGTTGTTCTGCTCTTTTCGACGATTCTTCATTTAAAAAATTATTAAATTCGTAATAAAAAAATATTGAGGGTCACTTATTAGGATAAAAACTATCCCATCTCTCAAGGTGGACCCAACTGCACAGAGGGTGCTAAATTTCACTGAAATCAGTCAGTAGTTTAGGGGTTCATCGCGGACAAACAACGTGACACGTAATTCATATATATAT